CCACCTTTTCCTCAACAAAAAAAGTCATCAGTCATCAGTAATCACCTACAACATGCTGGAATTTTACTTTACTTGGATGAATGTTTCCAAAAATGATTATAGCATGCCACCTATGGGTGATGTTTATGCACACACTACTTATTGCAAATATGGGTCGTTTCATTTACTCAACACGGGATAATCATTGTATATAATGCGTTGTCACCAAGACTTCTCAAAAAGCTTTACAGGATTTTACTGTGAAGTGTATTTACCGACTGTGGGACATTGCTATCTACAAATTCGGCACCGCACCCACAAAATTTAAAGTTTATTCTGTGAAGTGTTTTGAGACATCTCAACGATGTAATAATAAAATTATTATTTTTTGCCAACAAATACACCGGCAGTCATGAAGTGAATGGCCAGTATTATTGGGAGGGGGATTGGTGGTCCGGATACTAGGAGAAACTCCTTTCTCTTCAAATACTGCCATTCGGATGATTGACTATTGGATTACTTTCATCACATTTTTGAAGCGTAGCTTTGAAGATTACAGTTTTGACTAGCTTTGAGTTTGAAAAATAACCTGTCTCTGCTTCATTTCACTTTGCACTCAATGTCTTGACAGCTGACATTTCCAAAGATGTAGATACATGTCTTCAAAAGATTTGCTTACCAAAAGTGACTACACTTGGCTGGTAATCAGAGTAAAGCATGTACTGATTTCAGCTGAAGGGACTACAAAAGTAATGACTAGGTTGAATTAAGGGGCAATGGTCTGCAAGCAATCAATTTATGTATGTAAGTTGACAAGCAAAAAGGGTCTACATGCTTGGCAATGCAGAATCAAGTTAATCAGAATCAAGTTACAATCCAAAATTACATTTGCATAGCGCCTTTCTAGTCCCAAAATGCCATTACAATGCAATACCACAGAAGTTAATTCTCTGTGGTGACAAGTAATCTTGCATTTGATACAGTTTTATTAAGTCTATCTGATCCCTAAATCTGGTGAATCCAAAGTGTTTTAGGACACTGCAACAGCCACCCTCCCCTCTTTAAAGGTACATCTCAAAATGTAGTTTTGATGGGACTTTCAATCATGTCTGCTGCCCGCTTCCCACAGTACACAGCACAGTGAATCCTCCTCAAGCAAATTGCATTCTGTTGGCTTTGCAGCAAATGCTATAACATTATTTCAATGGCAATGAAGTCAATTTCTTGAATTCCAGTATTCTGGATGCACTTTGTCCTAACATGAAAGCAAACAAGTCAACACGAGGCAGTTTATTTTTCCTTCTAAATTACATTTATTGTAATAATAAACACCACTTAAACTTACACCACAGACACACTCATTTATATGATCACAGCTACTTTTAGAATAAATACAATACGTCACCTGCAGCTTTGCCAGTAGTTGACCACAATTATTTCTGAATTAAGTGCTCCCCAGTATTGTGACTTCAAGCAGCATTATACTGAACATGAGCAATCCACTTCAAATAGTTATTGAAGTAACTTGTTCCTTATTATGTGCACTTTGTTTCAGCTGCATAAATGTTGGCTTGCCAGCCTACACGTGATTTCTATTGTAACCTGGAGTTTGAACGTCCGTTATGTAAGAGTGTCCTTTTCCCCATTTACTTCTCAATGGACTATTTCAGAAATCTCCTACCCTTGCATCGACTCAGCTGTGAGGCTCTGGAATACATGCTGGAAATAAGAGCACGACACTCTGTGAAACTCTCCTTGTTGTCAAGAACAAGTGTGCAATGACTAGACAGAGCTAATGACCAACACTGCTTCTCAGGGCACACTGAACATGAAAATCCCTTAGAAAAACCTACAGCTTTTTTTTTAAAAAAGCAGGTGCTGAATACAATTTGTGAATATTTAACAGATTGAAATCTAACCTTCAATTCACTGAATTCACAGTAAGGACTGAATACAGAGACTAAAGTTTCATTTGTTCCATTTCACGAATGGCAAGGCTTAAAACTGACACGCAAACTATTTTATGCAACATTTCAGGTTTTCTGTTCAATATCTCAATGTCGTATATTTTTAGGATTAAATTCTTTAATTGCAACCAGCACAACTACAGTAAGTGCCTTTTAACTACTGGCAAACATTTACTCCTACAACATTTGATCTCCAATAGTAAACTACTTAATCGTTACAAAAACTTACAGTGCACATGGAACAGCTTTAATATTAAATCAAATAAATTTGTGTCTGATGGAAAATTCATTACCTGGAGAAAAAGCCTCTTAATCTCAGAGTGCTACACCATTGGCTTGGTGCTCCTTTAACATTTAACCGAATTTTAAAATAAATACAAAATGTTTAAAAAAATATAAAAATATAAAAGAACAAAATGTTTTGTTTTTTCCACAGAGGATTGGCATCTCAAAGTGCTTTATAGAGATAAAAGGGAGCCAGGGAGCAGAGGGGAAATGAAATATAATAATAATAATTCTTGCATTTGACATAGCACCTGATCACATTGCGAGATGCCTCAAAAGAGCTTCACAGGATAATAACAATACACTGTAAAGTGTGTAACTGTGTAATTTTGAACCACACACCCAAAATAAAATAGCACACACTTGTTTCTTGAAACACATGCGTTTTGATGACAATTTTTAACCGCTTGGAGGGAGAACCCCAAAAAATTTGACAATTAAAAATTATGACCTTAATCAATCAATCATAAATCTTCAATTCCTACTATAATAAAGCACTCTTTACCTTTGTATTGCAAAAGAAGTCTAACACTATTGCAATTACACCATTCAGTGATGCAAACAGTAATGGTAGCCTGGGGTACAGTGCTCTGATTATATGGTTTTGCTCCAGTGGTTCTGACTGCAAGCTTCTCATCTCTGGTAAATTGCTGGGGAGGTGCTTATCCAGAAGTAGAGAGAATCTATCTGCACTGCTCTCACTCGCATCCTTTCGTACTGGTAAAGGGATTCTTACCAGGAAATGAACATCCACTTACTCTCAGGCTGCAAATGGAACAAAATCAAGGAACAGGTTTGGAGGGTTCATGAATAAAATGTGAAATCAAAACCACATACTCTTACTCAGCGGACAAAAGTGGCTGTCCTGCTTATCTCCTGCACCAATATTTACAACAACTTGCATTTATATAGTATTCGCTCAGGCGGGATTACATCTCAGAGCGCTGTATAGCTTTTTCCAAAAATAACTTCCCTGCACATTTATGCATGTGGCCGTCATTCATGGAATTTAACAATCATTTCTGTGTAAACACATTTGGGCAAAATCTCAATTCTGCTTTTCGGGCATCGGTGTTGCGATGCAGACCATTAATGGCATTCCCCATTAATGGTCTGCATCGCCCCACCCATTGGTGTGCAATGCTGAACTGACTTATTACCTTCACTGACTGGCTTTTGACAAGAGAGAAAGAAATGCTTGCACGGAGGACAGGTATATTTGCAACGGTGCAAACCTATTGCGCTCACTTATATTTTCACTTTGATCACAGATTAAGAGAGAAATATGGAGGCCAATAGTTCTCCCAAATTGGGGGGCACTGCTATGTGCAAATCAGCCACTTGCATTTGCCTGCAAATACAGTCACTGATCAGGGATTACCAAAGAAGTGCTTTATACAGTTTCGACTCTGGAAGTTCAAATATCATGAACAGAGTAGTGCTACTGGAGCCATCCTCTCTACCAGTGGTGGTTAACCAGTGGCCCCCCACCAAACGCTCACTGGCTCCCAATGCTTCCTCCAATCAAAGTCCCATCATCTGGAAAGTCAAACTTCACACAGAAAGTAATCCTTCATCAGCTCAAACAAAGGAATACAGGAACATGCAGAGGTAAAGATGATGACTGGCCTGTTCGAGATGATCTCAATTTCAAACCCCATCTCACCCATCTCACCCAACTCACTCAATCTACAATATTCTCGCATCACTCATCCCCTTGAATCTGATCACCTGAAACATCTGGTAAAGTCAGGAAGTCTGAGTGGATTTTTAAAAAAAAAATAGGACCAGAATCAGTCTTCCCTTTTGTAAATTTAGCAGCAATTTGTGAAGCTCTTTTTATATATATTTATAGAATTGGCACACATTAGGGGGAGGCCGAGAACAAACATTGCCTTTCACACTGTGACTGACGAGTTAGCATGCTGAGAAAACCTCGGCTTTCAGACGCTTCATTACCTTTTAAGGCCCAACTCACCCAAAACCTACAGCAGCTTTTCCTTTACTCTGGGTTTCAACTTTGGCTAATCGTCCTGTTAACCAATAGCAACAACAATCCTTGTATTTGATATAGCGCCTTATCACGTCTTCGAGACGTCTCAAAGAGCTTCACAGAATATTTTGTAAAGTGAATTGTCTGTATATTTTGTGGGCAAAATTGCTCAGCAGCCAAATTGCTCACAGCAGTGTCCCCACAAAGTCATGGATTTGAGTGACCAATTTATTATTATTATTTTGAAGGAATTATTACCCCCGGAAAAGTGATCTGCCAATCGACTAACCATCGGGTTTCTACTTACTGCTCGGTACACAGAGATGTGTTGGAGTAAGGAAACTTACCCAATGTTTCGCCCTGCCGGGAATCGAACTTGGGTCTCTCGCTTGCAAGTTGAGCGCTCTAATCACTGAGCTACAGAACTCCACCTATTTTAACTATGCAGGTGCTTACAGCAGTACATCCACTAATAAAGGAGGGAGCTTTATCAAGGGAATACTGGGCTGGTATCAGTTTGGTATCAGTGCCTTCTTTTTATAAACATTTGGATGGTCATTTAGCTAAGTGTCAAATACTGCATGTACACTGTTGTACATTTTGCTTTGCCAAATAATTTCTCCCCACAATTGTTAAACCAAAATGGATTCTGAAAATAGTCAAAATCTATCCTTTGTTTTGAAATCATGAATTCTCAACAATTATACTTAAGAGGTTTGGATAAGATTAACTTCAGAGTAACCAATTTATCACAATTCATAACACTGTGCCTTGGGACGTCCTCCCGACATGAAAGACGCTATACAAATACAAGTTGTTGTTGATTTTCTTGCATGGGACTTGGGTTAACACAGCTCATCATCGAATGAGGTTGCAAAGCCAATTCGGTTGCAAATCCTGATTCACAAACAACAACAGATTATTCTAGCTGTAGCTATGAAAAGGAATGCATTTGAACCCCACTGGATTTTAGATTCAAAAGTTTCAGATGTAGTGCTGGACTAGGGTTAAATGTGGAGAATGAGGGTTTCAAAATAAAGCTCTTATGTATTACAGCCTAGCACAATGATCAGGAAAGGAAGCTAGGACTGTAAAACCATAATAAGCTGCTGTTAGTTAGATTCAAGTAGTTTCACCCAAATCAGCAATATCCTACTAAATGATACTTTTGTAACCTAGTTCAAATATGCTATTTCAGTGCAGTCAGCACCACCGTATACTGCACATTACAGCACACATGACTTTTATACATCTATGGCAATCCCATGGGACATGGACATGGTTTCTCTCGTACCAGTCAAGTACATAAGGACAGAGCAGAGATGAGGGAACGATGAGGTGATTGCTATGTAGAGCCAATATGGCACGGGGGCTGTATTTCCAAAGGGACAGAACCACAGTCCTCGTCGGGCTCCATCACGGATGTGGTGAGAGACCCAGGATATGGTCACCATCCACGGGAGAAAGCACCACGAGTCTTTGAGCCTGAAGAGCCACATGAACAGTCTCATTGAGAAAGCGACCACAGGGATGACTGTGGAGCAGTGGAGCGGAGGCCTCTGAGGCAGAAGCAACGCAGCCTAAATGGAGAGAAAATAAACCTCATTAACACACAGTAAACGTCTCCAGCTTCCTCACGTTTTTTACTATTGTATTTAAATCAGATTACACAACACAAGTAAAACTAGAAAGGGAGTGTTCAATAAAGTTGCCAAACCTTCCTCCTGACACACTTCTAACCCATTTATTTAAAATCAGCTTGCTGGATTCTCGCTTATGGAACAATTCCTTGTATCCACCACGAACTCCCCAGATACGAATAAAAATCATTAAAAGACTGGACAAATATAGGTCAGAAACAAAGAGAGCTCCAAGCTGCCAAATTTCAAGCGCATCTGCTAAGTCAGTCAGAAGCATTAAATGGGACAGGGAGGGGTGTACAGTTTCCCTTTTGGTTGATTTTGAGCAGGACTGATTGAGCCTCTTCCTTTGCCTCCTTCAAGGTCCACCTCAAGACTCATTAAATAATAATAATCCTTGCATTTCATATAGGGCCTTATCATGTTTTCAGCCATCTTCCCTCCCCCCCCCCTTTAGACTGTCCAGGAGATGTCCTCCTGATGTGAAAGGTGTAAAAATAATAATTCTTGCATTTGATACAGCGACTTATCACATCTTTGAGACAGCTCAAAGCGCTTCACAGGATATACTGTAAAGTGTAGTGACTGTGTTTTGTGGGTGAAATGCAGTAGCCAATTGTAAATTTGTACTGTTTAGTAAATGGCTGGACATTAAAAGACAGAACGCAACGAAGAAAGATTTTTAGGGACACAGAAACAAGTATAAATGCTTTGAATTAGATAAATACCTAAAAAGGAGTCAACGACAGTAGTATGGGGAAAGAGCAGGTAAATGGGACCCAAAGGATTGTTCTTTGACGAACCAAAAATGCAAGAATTAGGACCTCCCAATCTATCCTAACAGATAATATCCTAATTGTATCCTAATACAATATTTGTTCACCGTCACTAACTTCCTAATTGCTGCAACTGTGGAAAACTTAGAGATTTCAGGAAACCGAAGAAACAAACTGGTCACAACAGAATACTCTTAACTATTCCAGACTAGATAACCAGTCTTGATAATGTACAATCGTCTCGGTAGGAATATATAAAAGTCCTAAATAATTCAAAGGGTCTTTCACCTTTATATTATATTAAAAAAAGCTATTTTTTCTGCATTGACAGGTTAAGGGGAGACTGATCAGGATCTCTGCCACAAACTGTTGAAGCAAAGCAATATAACAAGATTTACATTTCTATAGTACTTTTCACATTGCCAGGATAATCCCAAAGCATCTAGGATAACTGGCTCGGTAATAATAATAATTAACAATAACAAATATTTTTTAAAAATGTAAACACTTTTTTTTAGACAGAAGCTTAAAAACAAGAATATTTTAAGATATGGTGAATACAGGAGTCTGAGGGAGACCGGGAATATGAGATTAGATCGGTTTGTACGGACTAAAAACCATAGCCCAGCTCAGTTTCTTTGCTGTAATATTCTATGATTCTAGGACGACTGTGAGTGGTTTGATTTCCATAAGTTATTGTTGACTGACTAGCGAAAAACAATTAAGAGAGTACTGTTAATTGCAACCTAGATGATTACAAACCATGACTGACTAGCAGAGTGTAAAAAAACATTGATAAAGAGTGCAGTACATTATCGTGATTACATGTGGAAGCCATTCCCAAAACACAGCAAGTGAGCAACATGGTACTTAAGAGTAATTTTAGCTCCTAATCTTAAACATCTGCCCCACCCATCCCAATTAACCTCAAAGTTTGTTACAGATGTACAATAAAAAACATACTTTAGGATGATTATGGTGCAGAGCGTTATTTAAACCAGGCACTTTGAACACATTACCTTGAGAGACAGCGAGCCGGCTGCAAGAAAGTGATCAGCATCGACGGCGGACGACAGAAGCCCGGCCAGAACAACCTCGTACAAATCACTCCTCTTCTTCAATCCGACCACAATGGCCCAGGACCACAGGCCAACGGCCCCGTGCACCGCATTGTCCGAAAGAGCCCTGAGCCAGTAGTTGTTCTGTATTAGAGGCAGTTGTAAACACTGATCGGACAGGAAGCAGAACACGCCCAGGCCTATGCTCCAGATGACTGACGCCGTGCTGAAGGTCTTGAGCAGCGCACGTGCGTTTTCTGTCTCTGTCGCCATTGTAATCGTGGAGGGTTTAGACTTAAACATCCTACAGCACGAGTATCATCCATTGTACAGCACTGCAGCACTCCCTCATTCTGGATCAAGGAAAGAATAGCTTGTTACTTGTCACAACTTCTCATGACTTTTTTTAAGAGTTACAATAATAAAATGTGTTTCGAGGACTGACAAGATGAGAATTCAAAGCACTGAAGGGTTAGTTGATGTTGAGCTAATTTTGGTCTGCCTTGCGTCTGATGACGAAACCTGTTCCGTACTTAAGTCCTCAATTCTAGTTCTTGGGAACTCGCCGAGTCAGATCAGAGTCCCACACCGTACAGGTTAGCACGCTCCCCTCACAAGCGAGAGGACCCGGGTTTGATGCCTGAGCGGGGCAAAACCTTAGGCATGTTTCCTTACTCCACACACTTCTGATTTATCTAGCAGTAAGTAGGAACCTGGTTGTTAGCCGATTGGCGGATTGCTTTTTGGGGGTAATAATCCCGAAAAAAAAAATTGGTCACTCAATCCGTGACTGTTTGTGGGACTGCTGTGCGCAATTGGGTGCTGCATTTCACCCACAAAACATACAGTCAATCTAGTTTACAATATATTCTGTGAAGCGTTTCGAGACGGCTCGATGACGTGATAAAGTGCTATATCAAACGCAAGAATTATCATCATCATCTGTCAACCAGTTACACAATGTGCAATCCCTCCCTTAGGAAAGAGTGATGAATCCACTTGCCTGTGATCAGTGGATAGGGAAGCAGACATTTAGAGAACCAAAGTGAGAAGGGAATATAACCAGAATAACTGGGGGGAGAAAACCTACATATTTCTTTCAAATGGCAACAAGAGGGGTTGGGGTGTGCGTCCTTAACAACCACTGGAATCACAAGGGAAACAGAACCTAAATTAAAGATATTATCAAGAAAAATGGAAACAAATAATGAACCTGTATTCAATACAGAATGCTTTGCGAGCACGACAACAGCTGATCTGCGTCAGTCCCGCGTCCCACAAACAACAATGAGATAAGGCACCATTCTAAAAGTCTTGGGGAACCAGTGCCTTCCGGAAAAAAGAAAATTGTAGGGATAGGTAAACTAAAATAAAAGTTACTGCAGCTTTTAAAAATATCTACTGCTGGATGAGTGGAAGGAGCGTTTTAAAACAAAGAAATACACCCTTGCCCTTTGCCCCGTCTGTCAATGCCATCGTGCTAAGGGTTTTCATGCATTTAAATAACTCCAGCTGAATGCAGAACAACTTGATAGGCATAGCATTCGCTATATGAACCATCTCTTGTACGTTTTTTTAAAAGTAATTAAAGAAAGTAATGGAACAGACATGCTTTGAGCTCCCTCAATGTGAAGTTAAACATAATAATAATCCTTTCATTTGATACGGTCGTCTCAAAACGCTTCACAGAGTATACTGTGAAGTGACTTGACTGCATATTTTGTGGACGAAAAGTGGCAGCCAACTGCACACAACAGTGTCCCAAGAACAGCTGTGCATTGAGTGACCAAATTTTTATTGTTGTTATTATTTTTGACTATTTAATACCCCCGGAAAAGCGATCCACCAATCGATTAACAACCTGGTTCCTAATTACTGCTAGGTAAACAGAGGTGTGTGGAGTAAGGAAACTTGCCTAACATTACACCCTGTCTGAGAATCGAACCCAGGTCCTCTCGCTTATATAGCGACTTTCACTTTGGAAGGACGTCTCAAAGCTCTTCACAGGACACACTGTGTATTCGTAGAACAAAACAGCCCATTTGGACACAGTCATGTCCTACAAACACCCGTAAAGTGAATGACCCACGTTTTATTTGTGGAGATTTTTGGTCAAGGCATCGTGAGAAAGTAACTCCCTTCTCTTTTCGAATAGTGCCACGTGATCTTTGATGTCCAATTAAACAGGCAGATGGGACCACAGTTTAATATCTCATCCAAAGAACAGCACATGCGACAATACAGTGCATCCCTAGCACTGCAATGAAATGTCAGCTTGGATATATGGGTTTCAAGTCCAAGTTTATTTATATATTAATCATTATCCCCATCTCTTGTACTATCAAAACAGCTATAGTAAAAGATGGAAATAAAACAAAAAACAGAAATTGCTGGGAATACTCAGCAGGTCAGGCATGTTTTTCCTCCCAACATGCCCCAGTTCGGATGAAGGGTTGTGGACCCGAAACCTTGACTCGCTTTCCTTTCTCCATAGATGCTGCCTGACCTGCTGAGTGTTCCCAGCGACTTCTGTTTTTGTTTTCAGATTTCCAGCATCTGCAGTATTTTGTGTTTTGTTTATAGCAATAGAAGAGATGTGTGACAAGCTCCCGCAATGTAAAATCATAAGATCACGAACAATAAGTTAGCGTTTAAAGCTTCATCAATATCATCTGTCCCAGTCAGCTTCTAATCAGAACGTGTCCAAACAGGTCGCTAATTCAGGCAATGTTTATCCCCCGCTGCAAATTCAGACAGCTTGGGACCAAACACTGTCTGGATTAGTGACTTGTTCGGATTTGCTGGAGCATGAAACCATCGGGACTTATTTCGCTTCATAACATGCAAACAGTCCCCTGCATTTGATTCAGCACCTTATGTCGTCGAGACGTCTCAAAGGACAGACTATAAAGTGGTGTGACTGTGTGTATTTTGTGGGCGTATTGGATTTTGAAAATTTAATGAGCCTTTTTTCTTTTGTATAAAACATTCATCACATATTGGTTGTATATTACCTGGTAAATCGGGCTAACTACATATAGTAGTGTTTTGTTCAGAGATTACCACACAGTTGTAGCAGATGATCAGTCTGGTCAGATTAGAGGTTTTGAGCTGCAGATTTAGCTCCGTAATAAAAACCCTGAAAAACACCAATTGGTTCACAAATGTCATTCTTTATATACAGGGAGGGTGGAGCAATTTAGCAAAATGTTTTATTAGTAATAGTAGCCTGATGGATTTGTGATAATTTAAACATAAGATACCATTCACTTGGTGCGAGCACTGTGTAGTTGTGTATTGCAAATCGCTTTCTGGGGGTAATAATCCCTCCCCAAAAATAATAATTTGGTCAGTCAAACCATGAGTGTTCGTGGGACACTGCTGTGCATTATTGGCTGTTGTGTTTCTCTCACAAAACACACAGGCACCACATTTTAAGTATATTGTATGAAACTCTTTGCGACAGCAGGATAAGGCGCTATATCAAATGCAAGGATTATTATTATATTAGGACATTTTAGCTCTGAAAGCAATAACAGATGAATGAACTGGGGTGTTGTTCTGAAGCACTCTCATGGATATCTGTTATTTAAGTGTCAATCAAGGTTTTACTCACATACATTTTCTACATGCCTATCCAGAGCATCGCTCATAAATGGTGCTGTCATTATATCACTACCTTTGCCTGACCGAGAGAGTAAATACGTTAATTGTTTGCTCTAAGGATTATACAGGGTGAGCAAGATTACCTTACTCTGTAAAGGTACTTTTGCTTTTGCTCTGGTCAAACTCTGACCCACCTGCTGGTTTGAATGCCTTTGAACCAAGGTCAGATGTCAGGTGGGTGGGAGCGGATCATTGGGAGCAAGATTTAAAACGGCAATGGCAAATAACAGTGCACTGCAATTTAAAACTATACTTTCTCATTGATAGTATTACCCGTAGGAAATTACCAACAGCAACGATAATCAAGAGGTATGCAACAATTATTTCAAGTAAGAATGCTAAGGCAGCCCTAGAATTGGAGGAGGGGGACATATTATTTGGAACGAGCGCGTGTAAAATGCTTAAAATGAAGTTTAAATTCCAATAACCTTGCACTGTAGCGGTTCATGCTGTCGGGTTTCTCACAGTGGGGTGGTCCTCGCCAACAACCTTCCAAACAAAACTGGTCAGTCACTGTTTCCGAAACATTGCTTGCTGTGTGCAAATGTTTGTGGCAGCCAATTTAAGTCATTACGTTTTACACTGTACTCCGTGAAGCAATTTGAAATGTCCTCCTGATGTGAAAGGAGCTAAACAAATGCCACGGCTATTACTACAACGCTGAAAATCTCTCTCTCTCTTAGACCTACTAAATCCCCTATTCCCCAGTGGATTACTTTAAAGATAATAATTATTCCCCGATCCTTGCATTCGACATAGCGCCTTTCTTAATAATAATAATAATAATTATAATAATCCTTCTTGTCAGGACGACGTCTAAAAGCGCCTCACGGGATATACCGTAAAGTGTGGTGGCTGCATTTTTATTTCAAAAGCAGGAAAATAATAATTAAAAATATACTCCACAAGGTTACCGCTGGTCCTTTAGGTGACTAGCGGTCGGGCCACGACACCAATTACAACACAACACACAGAATAAATATAATAGTTGCCCCGCACCGCACCGCTGAACGCAAACAAGACCGCTCTGCACCGCGACTTAATGGCGCTTCACCAATGACACTGAATAAAAAGCAACTTTACCATCCCGTCGCCACGAGCCTCACCGCAATCCAGATGTACCCCTCCCTCCCCCGCAACTGCCCCCCCACCCCCGCAACTGCCCCCCCACCCCCGCAACTGCCCCCCCACCCACACATAGCGGCCCCTCACCCCCTCCCCTCGGTACCTTACCCCTCCCGAGTGCCTCCTTGACCGCGATCGCTCCGATCACCGGCACCCCTGACCCCAACATCCCCCCCACCCACCCACCCCCAGGGACCCCTCCTCACCCCCAGGGACCCCTCCTCACCCCCAGGGACCCCTCCTCACCCTCAGGGACCCTCCCCCACCCCCAGGGACCCCTCCTCACCCGCAGGGACCCTCCCCCACCCCCAGGGACCCCTCCTCACCCCCAGGGACCCCTCCTCACCCTCAGGGACCCCTCCTCACCCTCAGGACCCTCCCCCACCCGCATGGACCCTCCTCACCCGCAGGGACCCCTCCTCACCCTCAGGGAACCCTCCCCCACCCGCAGGGACCCTCCCCCACCCGCAGGGACCCTCACCCACCCCCAGGGACCCCTCCTCACCCTCAAGGAACCCTCCCCCACCCCCAGGGACCCCTCCTCACCCTCAAGGAACCCTCCCCACCCGCATGGACCCCTCCTCACCCGCAGGGACCCCTCCTCACCCTCAGGGAACCCTCCCCCACCCGCAGGGACCCTCCCCCACCCGCAGGGACCCTCCCCCACCCGCAGGGACCCTCACCCCCCCAGGGACCCCTCCTCACCCTCAAGGGACCCTCCCCACCCCCAGGGACCCCTCCTCACCCTCAAGGACCCCTCCTCACCCCCAGGGAACCCTCCTCACCCGCAGGACCCTCCCCCACCCCCAGGGACCCCTCCTCACCCCCAGGGACCCCTCCTCACCCTCAGGGACCCCTCCTCACCCTCAGGGAACCCTCCCCCACCCGCAGGGACCCCTCCTCACCCTCAGGAACCCTCCTCACCCTCAGGCAACCCCCCCACCCGCAGGGACCCCTCCTCACCCTCAAGGAACCCTCCCCCACCCTCAGGACCCTCCCCCACCCCAGGGACCCCTCCTCACCCGCAGGGACCCCTCCTCACCCCAGGGACCCCTCCTCACCTGCAGGACCCCTCCTCACCCTCAGGGAACCCTCCTCACCCTCAGGAACCCTCCCCCACCCGCAGGGACCCTCCCCCACCCCAGGGACCCCTCCTCACCCGCAGGGACCCCTCCTCACCCTCAGGGAACCCTCCCCCACCCCCAGGGACCCCTCCTCACCCCCAGGACCCCTCCTCACCCCAGGGACCCCTCCTCACCTCAGGGAACCTCCCCACCCCAGGCCCACCCCCCACCATCCCTTCCCCAGACCACCTGCCCCACCACCTGCCCCACCCTCACCCCCCAACGGCCTCTCCACCCACTAGGCCCGACCCCCACGTCCCCAGCGCCCAAGGCGCGCCCCACCCCCTCCCCCTCAGTCAGGGACAAACCTCGGTGACCAGCGGCACCGGACGATCACTCGGAGCTTCTGGGCCGTCACCGCATCCACCGCCGCCGCCGCCGCCCCGGAGCTGACCTGCCCGGGACCTGCCCCCCTCCCGCCCCCAGACCGCGGCCATTGGTCACCTCGGCCTCCAACGCCAGCGCCCGTTGGCCAGCTGGTACGTCACTCACTCACTCTTCTCCCGCCCCCTCATTCAACCCCATTGGTCCGCCGCCTCCCTTCAAACTCTTGCTGCAATTAGTCAATGTTCACGCCCATCAACCGCCTCCCGCCTTCTCATTGGCCCCTGCCTCATAAACTCCCACTCCCATTGGTTTAATCCCGCGTCAATCACCTCCGCCTGCTCCCACCGCACTCATTCATCCCATTGGGCTTCCCAGTGCCTATTGGTCAATTGGCACGTCAATCATCTAGCCGCCAGCTCTTTCGTTCACCTGATTGGCTGACGTGTGCGCCCCCCATCGGTTGCATCTCCCATTGGCTATCCGCCTTCCACCCACAACCAATCACCGAAGGCCGTCGCCCAGCACTGTCCCGCCTTCTCCCACCTCTTCCATTTGGGCTTCTTGAGGGCACAGCTGAGTGACAGCAACAACAGCAACAACTTGCATTTGTACAGCGCTGCTCCCGCAGGATAGCGTCCCAGGGCGCTCACTGACAGCACCTGGAAGGACGGACCGGTCACTGGCTGGGGGTGTGGGGGGGGGGCAGGGTATCATCCCACTCAGCTCTTGCTGACCCTACGAGCCAACACCCAAATAATAATAATAATCCTTGCATTTGATATAGCGCTTTTCACGTCGGGAGAACGTCTCAAAGCGCTTCACAGAGTATACTGTCAAGTGAATTGACTGTATATTTGTGGGAGAACGCGGCAGCCAATTGCGCACAGCAATGTCCCACAAACAGTCGTAGATTGAAAATGACCAATTTATTATTGTTTTTGGTTTTGGAGGGATTATTATTAGGCTCTGTGTGGAGTAAGGAAACTTGCCCAAGGTTTCGCCCTCTGCCTGGAATTGAACTCAGGTCTCTCGCTTGCAAAGTGAGTGCTTTAACCACTGAACTACAAGACTCCACAAATGAGCGACTAATTTGATTTTGGGGGACCAATGTTGACCAGGACACCAGGAGAGACCAACTCTTCTCTTCAATAGGGCCATGGGATCATCAGCTTGGGATGTGCTCCCGATGTGAAAGGCTGGGGATAACGGGAACGGATCGTTGCTTCGTTGGAGGGACTGTCCTTTGGATGAGACAATCAACCAAGATCCCGACTATCTCATTTAGGGGCACATTAATAATAATAATAATAATAATCCTTGCATTTGATATAGCGCTTTTCACGTCGGGAGGACGTCCCAAAGCGCTTCACAGAACACACTGTAAAGTGAATTGACTGTATATTTGTGGGCGAACGCTGCAGCCAATTGCGCACAGCAATGTCCCACAAACAGTCGTAGATTGAAAATGACCAATTTTATTATTGTTTTTGGTTTTGGAGGGATTATTATGAGGCTCTGTGTGGAGTAAGGAAACTTGCCCAAGGTTTCGCCCTCTGCCTGGAATTGAACTCAGGTCTCTCGCTTGCAAAGCGAGTGCTCTAACCACTGAGCTAAAAGACTCCAAGCTCCCTCACGCTCTATCCCACCCACCTCCCCATTCAACACAAAACTGTACATTCACAAATAGGGAGAGTAGCAGGAATTAGGCAACTATTAAGTCAGCTAACGTTATAATTTTGACAATCAATTATTGAATAAACAGTGCTTTGTGATGTGAAATAAATTGGCCATGTTCAGGAGCAATAGAATTTGTTGACAGCATATTGGCCAGGTAGATGCCCAGCACCTTGGGACATCCTAACAATGTGAAAGGCGCTACACAAATGTAATTTTGGATTGTATTTTGTGTTGGAAGTATTGTGCTGGAAAAGGTGTTGAAAGTCATAAGTGGCTAGATATATAACCGAGCTGGGAGAGGGCGGAAAGTTACTGGAAACTCTTTCATGTCAACAAAAAACAACTACCAATTGCATTTATATAGCACCTTTCACGTGGATAAAGTCTCGAAGCACTTTACACCACTCTCGATTACAATTTGACACCATAATAATAATAATAATCCATGCATTTGATACAGTACCTTATCACCATCTGTGACAACCTTAAACAGTTTCAGCTTGGTGTGTTCAAAACTTGCTGCTAATGTTTGAAAAAGATTGTTTTGGTCAGCCGGGTGTCTTGAGACATGCGGCAAAACCCATCGTTATGCTTAAAAAAAATCCCAGCTTTCCGCACAAAAACAAGTACATCAAAGCCAAGGAAGTGATAAGAGAGCCAACCTGGCAACATCTGAGAACAGGGCAAAACTAAGGAACCCATGGCAAATACAGAAGTTCTGATGAAATGTTAGGTTTAAATAGTGATCAATCTTCTGTGCATTTCCAGTGTTATTAGAGAAAAAAAACAGTAAATTAGATAATAGAGTACTTGCTGTTTACAAGATTGTTTTGCAGATTTTCTTGGTGATATTCCGGTATAAACACTTTGGAATGAAAACATCTTGACGGTTTATTTCTGTCCTTGTATTGGTCCATTTACGGAAAGAGTGTGCAGGAAAATCAAAGTAAAACAGGAAGAATATTTTTAGTCAACAGGAAATGACTGATTTGGATCTCTCGCGTTTCGGGGAAGTGTGCGAACAAACACTTACAGCTCCACTTACCACTCCTTTTATTCCAATAAAAATTGGTAATTGAATCTCTGCATCAACCGCAACTTGCGTTTACTGCACCCTTCAGGTGGGGTAGCGTCTTGTACCACTTAAAGTTGTGAATTCTCATTCATAAATCACTCCTGAAAAAAGAAAGCTAAGATTTGTTTGAGAGGCTACCAGTACATAGATATAATAATCCTTGCATTTGATATAGCGCCTTATCATGTCATTGAGATGTCTCAAAGCGCTTTGCAGGATATACTGTAAAGTGGATTGATTTTATATTTTGTGGGCGAAATGCAGCAGCCAATTGCACACAGCAGTGTCCCACAAACAGTCGTGGATTGAATGACCAATTTATTATTATTGTTTGCAGGGTTATGGGGAGAAAGCTGGTGATTGGGGTTAGTGAAAGTGACTTGCTCTGCCAAAGAGCCGGCACAGACTCGATGGGCCGAATGGCCTCCTTCTGTGCCGTAACATTCTATGAATCTATGAATCTATATAGCCTTTTACAGCAATAGAAGGCCATTCGACCCAACTAGTCTGTCACGGTGTTTGTACTTCACTTGAGACTCCGCCCTTCCTATTCCCTTCTCCCTCATGTGTGCATCACGTTTCCTCTTAATAGTGAGGACAGGTAACGCCAACAACCCCACTAAAATGGAAGTAAACTGCAGCCGAAAGCAAAAAAACATCAGAAGTTCTTCGTAACAAAAAGGATTTATTATATGGAAAATACATTAGTGTAAATCAACAAAATACAACATTTAATATACAGTAGTGTGAAATGCTGTGGTACAGACAGCTCCAATAAATATGTATTTGAAAATGTGGTTTATTGCTGAAATATAGCTGAACTTGCGTAATATTTCTAAAATGCAACAGTCTTCTGATCAGAGACCTGAGTGTGCAAGACAGGTAACCCTTCACTTGGATGCAGGCGCCTGTGATGGGCAAGCTAATTGCTGAACTGAAGTTAATGCACCCTTATTCTCAGCAGTCATTGGGGTCTGGGGGGGGGGGGGGGGGGGGGAGGAGAGAGCAACGGGGGAGAAGGAGAGAAGAAAAGGCTTCACTGGCACAGATTCTTACAATACCAGTTTTTCGATGATGAGCAACAGTGCCAGAGACAATATTGTATGCAGGGTTTCTGCAAAAAGCTCTGCATTGGGACTGCACATGAGGTTTGTGATCGACTTGTACTGGCCTTTCAGTTAAGGTGGACGTGAATAATTAATGCACAAGGTATCCACAAAGTTCTCTTACCCCCTTTTACAAAACATCAATATGAGACTACAGAGGAGTTGAAACACGCTGTCAGAGATCCATTTTGTCTCCTCGCTCCATCCATGTTATGGAAGATGTTACATCGAACATGGCGAGGGATCATTATCTGCCATGAAAAATTATGGAGCTCACAATGATCCTCTGGACATCTAAATACAGTTAAACACTTGTACTGAATACAATTAAGCGCTTCCAAATACAATTATCAGCATTCTTCCACCTGTTTCAGTTGTTGGTCAGTGCACTGTAGAAAAAAATCATGGGGGTAACAGGACTTTGTGAACACACTGTATTATCTCCCTTTCTCTCCCCCCCACCCCATTGAGTTCCTCTCACGAATTGATGCTCTTGGCAGTAGGAGGGAAATGTTTCATCAACTTTGGATACGGGCTCATACCAAAATATATTACCAGTTAACCATGCTAACAAACAGAACCCTACACAGATTCGGCTAGCATTTTAAAAGTCTTAAGAGTAGCAAACTCACATATGTACACCTGCTCAGCTTTACTATGCTGCAAGACCCATTGACCTAGAAAAGTATCACTCTCTTACACTTTACATAATTCACTGCTCACTAGTAACGAATACAGTATACGGTACACAAAAGTGGTCTAAAAATCAGCCATTCAAGCATCCGCAAACCACTGCTACATATTACTTTTTAGGTAGAAAAAGAACCTTCAGATACCAGACTGAGAGGTGGTTCATGGACTAAGTCAGACATTATTTCATATCCCACCCTGTCCACCATTGCATCGAATTAGAGAACAAACTCTTCCTCCATGGCTCGTATTAATCTGCCTTATGCATTGACTGCAGCACCGAAGTTGAAAGTTGAAAGCAAATTCAATCACACAAGTACTCACTGTACAGTACAGCTTGTGAAACAACTAAAGCTCAAAGCAAACAAAGAGCAAAATAGTTTTGTGTCATTCCCATCGTGCTGTGTACAACCCATTGAAAGTCTCACGGCCGGCAGTTGGCAATGGTTTAAAGTGAAATTGACGCAATAAAGCAAGACACTGAACAATTTTGTTAGGCTACTGTTTTAAAAATATTACTTATGAACCATTTTAGACAACGCAGATGGGCTGTTCCTTCTTAAGAAAAATGTTAACTGATTCTAGGTAAATTTATAATAATAATAATCCTTGCATTTGATATAGCGCCTTATTACTTAGTTGAGCCATCTCAAAGCGCTTCACAGAATATATTGTAAAGTGGATAGACTGTGGGTGAAACACATTATTATCGGGTGATATGCGATTACACCAAAACATCAAAAAGCAATCCCAGTGGGTTATTATTATTATTAATAATAATGAAAGTACAAGAGCAAGGACCTTTATGAATCCTTCATTATTTCATGCTTCAATTTCAATATTTAAAACTTGACTGGCACTGTTGCGACACAGGGGAAGTAACACTGTTTTAGCTCTGTGCACAGTTCAGAATCGCAAATACTTGTTTTTTTAACAATATAAATAGTTCACTTCAAGAAAGCTTGCAGTTGGCTAGTCATCGCCCATGGAAAATAGCCCCGAAACACTGCAATATAAATAAGATATAGGACCTTCCATAGCACACATAAATATATGCAATATTAAAGTTTAAGGCCAGTAAATAGGTTGCTTCTCGCTCAACGAAGCAAATAGGTTGTCTTAAAATATCAAGTTTTTCCAATTTTTAAAATACATGCGTGGTTATATCTGAAAAGGCAAATACGATAACAGTAAACTTCAGAAGGTCCATCAACAGTTCTCCGCTCTCTGTCAAGGTGACAGCTCAGAGATGAGCTGGAGTTTCTCTGAACTTCATTACATTTATTGAGAAACCCCTCAGCACAATTGTAAAGTTTGACTTTGGATTTTTTTATATTTAAAAAGAACTGCTACATTAGCCCTACTACAGTGAATTGCATTCCAATAGGTAATTTAACAGAACATGTTTTAAGGTACGAGACAAAACAGCAGTGCTGTCAAAAATCTAACTAAATAGTTATTTACATCTCTCTGAAATAAGGGAAACAATTGTGGTCACTGGCTAATGGAGAGGTAACAGTGATTATTCTTTTCACATGGCTATAATATCCCTTTTCCAGAAGATGTATAGTATAACATGCAGTGTTTTGCGTGAAGCAAATATATCACTGCACACAAAATGACTAGCAAGTGATTGTGTGGTATGTACTTTTGCCTGTGTGGCACATAAGGATTAAGTGAAGGATGCTGAATGTGAAAGTTATCTAAACAGCTAATGGCAGTGACAAACCCCTCGCAAAATACAGAGATATTCTTGGCACAAACCAAGTTTTTAAAAAAAATTCCTAGGGCAAAGCAAGAGAGGCCAATGTGTAGAGGGGCCAAGTCATAGAAAAACAAGTCACAATAAAGGCAGAGACTGAAAGATAAAGATAAAGCAGGAAATGCTGACACTGGAGACAAAGTTGGAAGCAGAACAGATCAAGATTAACAAGCAGGGAAGGATGGCATTAAAGGCAGATGGCATATACTGTATATAAAAATAATATGGCAGAGATTAGCACGTCACTCTGTCCCTCTGTTAACATTCACTTTCTTGCATCTCTTCCACTTTATCTCACCTCCCCCACTCAGCTCTCCTCTCCCCTCTGATCCTCAATCTATCAGCTCACCTCCCTCACTACATTCTCAGTCTATCAATCATCTTACACCTCCCTTGGCCCTCAGTCTATCAGCTCATGACTCCCACTCGATCTATCCATCAGCTCACTTGCTCCATCCATCTTCATATTAGGTCTAATTTGCATCACGAGATTAACATAGTATCTGAATCACAAATAGAGTTGATTTTCTTAAATTCTAACTCACGTAATAGAGTATTTTGCCTGTAATCGAGATGCTTCAAGTTGACCAACGGAAACCTGGGATGCACGTCAGGTAGTGTTGGTGCACGTTTCCTCCAGGCCAACTTCCAGGTTACTCTATGTGTACCTCAGAGTCTACATCAATCCTGAAATCTGGCACATTCCTTATGTCTCTGCTTTCACTGCTCACGACCTGCTCCCCATTATTATCATCTTGTGACAATGACATCCTTGGATCACGATAAGCAACACAAGACACTCCGAGCTAATCTAACACTTCTGCATTCGCCATTCCCTCGTTCAATTCATCTCAGGGCAATGGATGCAATCGGTGAATTTATTGTAAAAAATAACTATTAAATACCTGATGATACTTATTGGTTGCTATGAACACCATTGCCTTAACCTCAACGTACGTAGCACACAAAATCTTTGAATGTTCTTGTTTAAGCAACGAACTAAACGAGTCGATGAAAAAAAAACATAATGGCAACTCCACTAACCACAGTCTGTTCCCATCATGGATATTTTGGTGCAAACAGAATGGACGGGTTACAGAATTGTATGTTTAATAGCCAGAGGTAAACTACTAATATTTTCTATACTGCTTCAAGAACGTACAGGATAATGGTGGTTAAATATCATTGAGTTATCAAAACAAAGGAGCTTTTGTAAACTGTAATTTTTTTTTTTCGCAAATCTAAAAAGGTCCATTATCCCATATCCGTCCCAGCAGCTGTGGCACTTTTCAGCGGTTGTTGAGGCACCGTTACGCACATCACTTCTTCAATGTATGGGTCTTGCACATGGTCAAAATCTGTTTCAGGGCTTTTTGGACGTCTTCGTCCATTTGACCCTAGAGAAAGACAACGGACAAAGACGAGGTCAACTTAGAGGCAAGAGCAAAGTGCCACTGATACGAGTTGCAGGCTGTTCATCATTTTTAATACTCCATTGTATACTCCATTAGAAAAGCTAAATGGAACCGTAAATTAACAGCACAGAAGATAGCCAACTGGACAGTCAGGGATTTGGACACGAGCAGGGGATTAGGGTGAGGAGAGGGCAGGATTATCTCCAATTACCTGATCTTTCCCAGCACCTCTGTAGTTTACTGAATTTTAGGTATCTGTCTAGTTCCCTTTTGAAAGCTAATATGGATTCTGCCAGAACCAACGTTCCCAGCAGGGAATTTCATATGCTAACTGCCCTGTGCGTGAAAATAATATCTCCTACCCTACCCATCTACTCGTTTTCTAACTCTCTTAAATTGATGGTCACTGACCAACTCCCTGATCAAATCTGAAGAGGAACTGAAGCTTTTGAAAATATGTGGCCACAGTGAAACTAAAGAACTAAAGGAACGACACACTTAGGAACATAGATATTTACAGCACTGAAGGAGACTATTCAGCACCATCAATTGGACTAAAGCCCAGCTTCTGTGACTGCAAATGGCATTAACCTTTGTCTTTGATATGAGGAGTTTGGGAATAGAGTCTTAAAGATAGCCTTAATTTGGAAACAGATTTTCTGTATCCCCCAGGACACTGAGATTCATTTGAGCTTGAAAGATCTATTGGCCCTGGAGGGGGTGCAGTGTAGATTCACCAGAATGATACCAGGGCTTAAAGGGTCCAATTATGAGGACACGTTGCACAAACTTGGTCTGTATTCCCTTGAGTTTAGAAGGTGATCTAATTGAGGTTCTAAGAATGATTCGATTGGGTAGAAACGGAGAAACTATTTCCTCTGGTGGGGGAATCCAGAACAAGGGGGCATAGTCTTAAAATTAGAGCTAAGCCATTTAGGAGTGAAATCAGGAAGTATTTTTTCACACACATGGTAGTGGAAATCTGGAACTCTCTCTCCCAAAAGGCTGTGGGTGCTGGATCCATTCACGTTTTCAAGATGGACAGATATCTGTTAGGTCAGGGTATCAAGGGATATAGGGCAAAGGCAGGTAAATGGAAATGACGTTCAGATAGAGCCATAATCTAATAGAATGGTAGAACAGGCTCGATGGACTGAATGGCCTACTCCTGTTCCTGTGGTTCTAAGCTTGATGCTATGATGATAGCATGGGCATTCTGGAAAGAGATTCAGCTGTGCCGTAACCTGCCCAACCCACAATGTTTAGTGTTAACTGCTGAAACTTACCTGCACAGCATACAGAAGATGCATTCTATACACAGATACCACTTCCTGGTGTCGTTGGTTTGCTTCCTATGAATAAAATGGTTACATTGAATTAATTCGAGTAACTATTAGACACAATAGCAATTCATTAATGTCGTACAAATTTGATCTACTGTAGTTCCCTTTTCTTCTGCCTGTCAAAGAGACATTGCGAGACATAACCTGTGGTGATTATGTGCTCTGAGACTTGAGTGCTCTGGGACGCTACCCTGTGTGAGTAGTTCTACATAAACCCAAGTTGTTATTGTGTTCAGTGATTGGAAGAAGTCGCCTGGGATTGACCAAACTCACTTACTTAATCATAATCCTTGCATTTGATATAGCTCTTTATCATATCGTTGAGACGTCTCAAAGTGGTTCACACAATATACTGTAAAGTGAATTGACTGTATATTTTGTGTGTGAAATTTTTTTAAGGGTTAAAGGAAGCTAAATATATTTTAAGGGTTGAAGGCGGCTGCGAGGAATACAATAACCGTTGCATTTCACATAGTGCCTTTCGCATCAGGAGGACGTCTCAAAGCGCTTCACAGGATTTATTGTGAAGTGTAGTGACTGTGTACGTGGGCAAGTCTTCAGACACCTCATATCTGCTCTCTGGAACTCTCTCTCTAAATACGTCCACCTTGCAGCCTCTCTCCCTGGTGTCAAAATCCTAAAAAAACTATTGCTTTGACTACACCTTCCCTTATCTCACTCCATTCCCCTCACGAGTTTGGGCTTTCACTCCATCTCTGCAAAGCTTCTGTTTAAACACATGGAAGCTACAATAAAAGTGCAAGACGTATTCCCTGTTCCATTTAGTTCCCAAATATTATTCATCATGTAATTATTTTTATAAGAAAAATTGATTTAAAACCGATCTTCTCACATAGGTTTGTCTGGGCCCTGGCAGCACAATGGCAATTTATGTTCATAATAATAATACATAATTATTCTTATAAATAATTTCAGATAAATAATTACAATTCTGTATAATGATTATTTATTTATAATTAATATATTATAAGTAAATATAATTAGCCATAATATTAATAATATATTGCTTGCACATTTCCTGTGAAGTGAAGTGACTGTATTTATTAGCGAACCCAGCAGGCTAATTGCATACAGCAATGTGCCAAAAACAGCCGTGAAACAAACCACCCGTTTTATTTGGGAGACTGTTGTTTCCATAATTTATAATAATACTTGCATTTGGTATAGCGCCTTATCACGTTTTCGAGATGTCTCAAAGCTCTCCACAGAGTATACCGTTAAGTGAATTGACAGTGTATTTTGTGGGGGAAATGCGGCAACCAATTACACAAGGCAAGGTCCCACAAATAGTCATGGTAATAAGTAACGAGCATTAGTTTAAGTGTTAAGTGCAGGGCTTTAGAGTGTAATAAGTTCTGCTTAGGAACTCACAGTAAGCTGGTGCTGCAAATTCTTTGTTTGCTGCTGAAGAGTCTCAAGCTGCTGGTTTTGTCTCTTGGGAATGTTTGAGGTGTAAGAAAGTTGGGACAAGCTGTTCAACGCTTCCTTCAGTTTGGTTACTTCCTTGTAAAGTTCGTTAATCTATTAAGAATAGCGTTAATAAAAAAAGTGAGCAATTCTGCAGTCAACGTAACAATCACATTTCAAATTGTATAATTATAATAAATATAATATATTATATCAATAAAAACTAAATATAATAATAAGTTATAATATAATAAATTATATGAATATAATAAATGAGATAATAATTCTTGCATTTTGTGTAGTGCATCAACACGTTACCGAAACATCTCAAAGCGCTTCACAGGATTTACTGTAAAGTGACTATTTCTTGAGCCATGATATTACTCCCTTTAGGTAATACTGGGAGTGACATATGGGGAATGTGTCTCTCTCAACTATAACAAATTGACATTTATATACAGTAGCACCTTTCATCAGGAGGATGTCCCAAGGCATTCAACAGTTCTGACTGACACCCAAGTTTGGAGTGGAGCTGAAGGGGGTGCGGGAGGGGAAAAGAGTTGTTCATTCACTTGACCACAAGCCAACAAACATTTACAAGCTTCAACTAAATGCATAATACAATATTACATTTGGATTGCGCCCTTCACAACAACAACAACAACAAGATTCCATTTATTGAGTGCCTTTCACGTCGGGAGGACGTCTCAAGGACCATCAGGGATTTGCATCCGAGCTGGGGCGTGTTGGGATCAGGGAGGGTGGAGGGCAGGGAGGGTAGGAGAGTGGCCGAAGGTGCGGTCGAAGAGGAGGATCTTGAGACTTGTCTTGAAGGAGGCAAGCGAGGGAGCAAAGTGAAGGGAATGTGGGATGGAGTTCCAAAGGGAGAATGTAAAGCAGATCAGACAGAATTCCGTGTATGCCACCTACACACATTTTCCTATGGAATGCGCTCTCCCCCCACAGGGACAGATCTTGCTTACCTAATTTTCTCGAGAGTATTAGATACAGGTTGGGTACTGCAGAGTGTGTCTGCTGTTGGGACTGCTGCAGCTTAATCAGCTAAAACCGTACAGCTCACCATTTAAAGCATCATCTGTCAAGCATTCCTGATTCTTGCCCAGCCAGAACCCTATACATTAGGGCTTTGGTTTGCAGGGTTACCAGGAGCTGAGTGGGAATAATCTCTGCTCCCAGTGAATTGGTCTACTCCTCCAAGACCTGCCAATGAACTTGGCTATCTGTGCTATCATCAGCAGGGCACTGGGGTATTGGTGGCCCATCTGCACAGAAACTGGGCTACTGAGACCACCACAGAGGGTGACTCGATTCCGACATTTCTCTTGCGAAGCACGGTACATTGGAAACAGGATCAGGCACCCCCCTGATGAAGTCTAACCAGCTAAAACTGCAACGTGGCTGAATTGGGACGCGGGAGAACTTGCCTTTTTCTCCTTATCCTCCTCCTGCTTTAAGGAGCTTCCAACACGCTTCTCCAGCTCGCTAACATTGTCCTGCATCTCGCGGCACTTGGCGCGGAGATCAGTGAGTTCCTGCTCTCTGAGCACCAGCTGGGCTTGAGCCACCTCCCGCTCGCTCTTGGACAGCGAGCATTCCTTCCGGGCTTGTGTGATCTCCGCCGACGCCCTCTCCTGCTCCTTCAGCACTTCACCCGTCTTCACCGTCAGCCGGTTCAGCTCCGCCCTGAACGAGGCCTTGAGCTTCTCGTACTCCGACTTGGGGATCATCTCCTCCTGGATGATGGCGCTGTTCTCGGCCGTCACCTGCTGCAGGATTTGGAGATCGTGTTCCTTGCGCTCCAACTCCTGCACCGCTTGACTCGCTTTGCTCTCCGCGGCCTTTATGATGTTCTCCAGGGACGCCACAATCTGGGTGTGCTCGGCGAGACACACCGAGCTCTGCCTCTGGACCTCCAGGTCCTTCTGCAGTTTGGCCGTGTCTCTCTCCGCATCCGCCAGCTTGGCTTCGGCCTCGGACAGGTAGTCCTTCAGCTCCCCGATTGAGTCGTTCAGCAGTCGCACCGCCTGCTTGTGCTGGTCCTTGGGGACGTAACTGGAGTTAATGTGCTCGGACACCGCTTGTAACTGCTTGCCCTTCACCTCCTTCAGCTCGCTCTGAGCCTCGTTGTACCACTGAGTCAGTTCGGCCACTTGACGGTTCAACTTGTCTATGGTCCGGTTCAGGGCTTTCTGCATCTCCAGGAAGTTCTGCTTCTCCTGAGAGAGCCCCTGGTGGCTCAGCCTCTCCTGTAGCTTCTTGATCTCTCCCTGCGCCTCCCTGAGCTTCTCGATCAGCAAAACCTTCTCCTGGTTGACCTCGTCAAGCAGCGAGCTCTGGCTTTGCTTGAACTCCTCAAACTCATCCTCGGAGATGCTCCTGGCCAGGACCTTCTCCATTTCCTCCAGCTTCTCCTCCAGGTCGCTCACCATGCACTCGGCCCGTTCGCGGTCCTCCAAAACCTCGTCAAGTTTCCTCTTCAGCTCTTCCATCTCCTTCTGGCGGATGTCCACCACTTCTCCAGCATTGGTCGAGGAGTTGGGCCTCTTCCTGGCCAGGAAGGTCTGCTGGATCTGGGTCTGGAGCCTGGTCACTTCCGTCATGGCTTCCTCGTACTTGTCCTGGAGCTCCTCAAGCTTGTGCTGGAGGCAGTAACTGTTCTCTGCCATTTCGATAGTCGTCTGCACGCTCTTCTCCAAGGACTCGGTTACTGCCTCGTGTGGACTTTCCAGCAGACAACACCCAGTCTTTGCTTCCCCTTCGCTGCTGTTTTGCCTCTCGCAAACCTCCAGGGTCAGCGAGCCATCCCAGACCCTGGAAGGCAAGGCGGTCTTCAGGCTTGTGATCTCAGCCTGCGCCTCTTTGTACATTTCCGTCAGCTGCTTGTAACTGTCTAGGAGCGATCGATGGGAATCGGAGGAGTTGAAATTCTGGTCGTACGACAGTGTCTCTGGGCTCTCCCGGGATTGCTCGTGCTCTGGCAATATGCTCAGGTTCTCTTCTCTGTGATGAAACTCCAGCCCCTGTGTTTTAACCAAACCTACAGTTAGAATCAACCAGATGCAGATCCTCAATACAATACAAATTACATCTATATAGCGACTTTCATATCGGGAGGATGTCCCAAGGCGCTGGACAGTCAGGGAATTAGAACCGAGCAGAGGGTTTGGGATCAGGGAGGATGGAGGGCAGGGTAGGTAGGATGGTGACTCCTGGCTGTTTGGGGGGGGACTTTGCTGAGGGCAAATTGGCTGCTGTGTTTGTCTAGAAACACAATTTAGTTTAATCAATCTACTTTACAGTAAATTCTGTGAAGCGCTTTGAGAGGTCTCAACAAGGTGATAAGGCGCTATATCAAATGCAAAGATGATTATTATTATAATAAAAATTACGTGAAATGTTTTGGTGTTATCAAATATATGAGGAAAAGTAGTAAACAGTGAAGAGAATGGTAGCACGCTGCAAGGGGCCATAGATAAACTGGGCAGACATGTGGCAGATGAAGTTTAATGTGGAGAAATGCAAAGTAATACACTTTGGGAGGAGGGGCAATATAAGCTGATGGTACAATCTTAAAGGGGGTGAAGGAACAGAGAGACCGTGGGGTTCATATAAGTAAATCTTTGAAGGTGGCAGGACAGGTAAATAAAGCTGTTAAAAAAGCATACGGGATACTAGGCTTTATAAATAGGGGCATAGAATACAAAAGTCAGGAAGTTATGATGAAACTTTATAAAACACTGGTTAGACCTCAGCTAGAGATGGTGTTCAGTTCTGGGCACCACACTTTAGGAAGGATGTCAAGGCATTGGAGAGGGTGCAAAGCAGATTTCCAGCATGGAACCAGGAATGATGGACTTCAGTTATCAGGAGAGGCTAGAGACGCTAGGATTATTCTCCTTGGAGCAGAGAAGGTTAAGAGGAGACTCAATAGAAGTTTTCAAAATTATGAGGGGATTTGATAGGATGAATAAGAAGAAACTATTTCCACTGGCAGATGGGTCGGTAACCCAAGGATATCGATTTAGAATTGTTAATTGGGATGTGAGGAGAAATGTTTTCACATTGCAAGTTGTTCGGATGCATGGCCTGAAAGGGTGGTGGAAGCCAATTCAATAACAACTTTTAAGAGAGAAGTAGATAATTATTTGGGGAGGACAAGTTTGCAATGTTTAGAATGGGATTGATTTGGATAGCTCTTTTCAAAGAGCCAGCACAGACACGATGGGCCGAATGGCTCCTTCTGTGCTGTATAATTCTATGATTCCATAAGAGCTTTCTATTCTATATACACTCGTCAAAAAAACTCTTTCAACGCACTTTTTGCTACTTCAAAAACATGAATTTCTCTTCATCACTTGGAGACATGTTTGTGTATGGATCCACATGTGTGTGTGGATGGGTGGTGTGGGTTTGTGTGTGTGTGTGGAAGGCTGGTGTGGGTTTGTGTGTGTGTATGGAGGTAAGGGTCAGTCTGTGAAAGGGTGTGGGGGTATAATTCTAAGTGTTACAAATATCAAGGTTATGGGTTAAAGGAGTGGCACTATTTAGAAATGCACAGTACGGAAACCATGCATCTGATAAATAACAGTAACCTCAGCGCAAGGTACGTACCCAATTCAGATAGACCACCCATTCGGATTTTGGCTTGCAGGATTATCGGTGGATCTAGATCATGGATTAACTGAGGATAAATCTGGGTTTGCCAAGGCTAGTTCAGGAGACTCTTTAATTTCTCCTTCCCCCCCCACCCTACCACCTCACACACACAAACCCACACCACCCATCCACACACTTTTAGCCAACAGTTTCACTGACGTCAAATGGAGGAAGATCTCAACCAGGATTCAGACCCTAGGATCATCTGATTCCAACCCTGACTTGAAATTCTAAGATATAGTGAGGATATTGTGTGTGCATTGGATGGGATACCTGCAGTTTATCCAGGAGCTCATTATTTTTCACTGTGAGGGAAGCGATTTGGGATTGCAATGCCTTTATTTGGTCCAATCCTTCAACGTAGCCTCTCTCAGGTGTTCCTATTTCAGTACCTGTAGCAAAAGGAACACAACAGAAATGGCCCAAATGATTTACTCCCTCAGTTCCACGTAAAAGAAAAATACCTTCACTTGTTATTGAAGCGTTATGAAGAAGTCAGGGTCAGCCACATTCAAAAATTCAATTCAAATCCAGCTCTGCACTGAAAATGGTCCATGTCTAAGTCACCATTGAAGTCACTTCCTGCATTGCGGTATACGCAGATCACAGGAAGCAACATTAGTGGTGACATGATAACCAAGTACAGGCCATTTTAGCATCCCGTGAGCTAAAAAATGACCAGCTTCTGTGTCATAAACGGACAACAGGAAGTCAGCTATTTTTGACCTGACAGTAGGAAGTGATGCACCCCGATGATCCAGCACCTCGATGATCCAGTTTTGCACTTTTGTTTAAAAAAGCATGGGAAACAGCTGGCACTCAGGAAACAGGCCACAGGGGCAGTAAAACGCAGCCCCAATTCATAAATAAAAGTAATACTGAGTACATTTCTACAACTAATTTATGTGCAATCTTCATGATGTATCCAGTTCTGCATTTCCAAGTATATAGACCAAATCCAACACTTAACTTGGGTAAGTTTTGTTAGACAGTACCTTTCATGTCAATTGGTATTTCTCCATTATTCCAAGAAACTTGCTGTTTTAGATCATTTTCTTCCATCTAGGCATAAAGAGCATTCATATAAAAACACCGCTCATCTTCTGTCCAAGTACACTTCTAATACAATTTACATTTATTATGATAATAATAATAATCTTTGCCTTTGATAGAGCGCCTTTTCACATCGTTGAGACGTCTCAATACACTTCACAGAATATATTGCAAACAACAACTTACATTTGTATAGCGCCTTTCACGTCAGGAGGACTTCCCAAATGGAGATTAACTGTGTATATTTTGGGGCAAATGACGGCAACCAATTGCGCACAGCAGTGTCCCACAAACGACTGTAATGCAGAGTGCAGTGACTGTGATTTGTAGGCAGAATGCAGCATTGCATAAGAAGTTCAAGAAGAGTCTTACCTCCAGGTGTTTTTTGTCTAAGAGCTGCTGATTTAGATTTTGTATCATCTCTAGTAACTTCACCTTCTCTTCTTGAAGCTTTCTCATTTCTTCGTTGCTTGCCTCCTTTCCCTGTTAATCGCAAATACAGTCAAAACCTGGTTCGTGCAATCACCTCCCTTCAGCAACTACCTTTATTAACAATTACCCTGGAACAGCCCAGACAGAAATTCTACACACACCAACAGAGGCCACCCCTATATAAAGTCCACTTCAGTTCCTGAGAGGTTGCTTAAGACAGGTTTGTTTGTATAACATCTCAAGTCTCCTTTCTTCAATGCACCATTGGTTCTGAAGGCAGGGAAAATGCATGGGTCAAGGGACTGCCCAGACCACTGAAATCTGTTTAGATTTTTTGGACACAATTTTGTCCGGGTTCCATCAATTCAGAAGAGCCGAAGGCAACTCTTTGAATGAAGTGCTTTAATATCGTATTTTCTTTGCTCACTCGGATGTCCGACACATTAAGAGTATCAGCATGGGATTTCTTTGGCATCACCATGCCAAAAAACCCCACACAAACAAAGAATCAAACAACCTGAATACCCAGTTACTGTTTTTAGGTGTGATCTCTACAGCAAGGAAATCAATTCCTGATAAAGACATATGGTGCCTTCAGTCAATCAAATCGTCAATCAGTCTGTTCATCATAATAATCCTTGCATTTGAAATAGCGCCTTATCACGTCTTCCAGACTTCTCAAAACGCTTCACAGAATATATTGCAAAGTGAATTGACTATATGTTATGGGCGAAACGCTGCAGCCAACTGCTCACAGCAGAGTACCACAAACAATCATGGATTAAGTGACCAAACTTTTTATTTTATAAAGGGATTACTACCCCCGGAAGAGCGATCCGCCAATTGACTAACCGGGTTTCTATTTAATGCTACGTAAACAGAGGTGTGTGGAGCAAGGAAACTTGCCCAACATTTTGCCCTGCCTGGGAATCAAACCCAAGTCCTCTCACCTGAGAGGCAAGTGCTCTAACCACTGAGCTACAGGACTCCACAATAATAATAATAAGCCTTGCACTTGATATAGCGCCTTATCATGTCATTGAGACGTCTCAAAGCGCTTCACCGAATATAATGTAAAGTGGATTGACTGTGTATTTTGTGGCGACACATGGCAGGCAGTGAGTGACCAATTTTATTTTGGGGGATTGTTGACCAGGACAGTGGAAGAATCTCCCTTCTCTTTTCGAATAGTGCCATGGGATCTTGAACAGCCACCTGAGCAGGCAGATGGGACCTCAGTTTAATGTCTCCTCCGCAGGAAAAAGATGCAATAATACAGTGAAACACCTACCTGAGCAGACACCTTTTCCACTTCCGATGCCTCGCACTTTGATGCCGGAAGAGGATTGAAGGTTTGGGGCGTGGATGTATCAGTGGGCAAAGGACTCTAGACAAGGCAACACAAAGTATTGATAGGCAAAATGTTTAAAACTATGAAGCAATATTAACTTCACTAATCTCTTAGATGAATGATGACAAGTGAGATGTGTTTTCTTTTACCTGCATGGAACTGACTGGTGGCGGAGGAGCTTTGCGCTTTTTGGGAGTTTCACTTCTATCGCCAGAGAATCTAATGCTTGGATCCAGCTGCAGGTTTCACAGACCAGAAACGTACAGTGGTTAGTCTTGTTAGTCAAAGTTGGGAATAGGTTAACGTCTCTACATTGAGATGCACAAGTTAAATCGCATGCCACCTCCCTTTTTTTGCAGTTTGTTCAGAGCTCATGCTTACTCTCTCACTGTGCACAAAACAATAAACCCGAACAAAAAGCACTAAAAGCAAGCAAACGTACACAACGTCTTTAATAACGCTTTTGCTCAGGTAATACTTAAAACAGCAACTTGCATTTATACAGCGTGTTGGAGAGTTTTACGAGGATGGTATTCGGCACTGAAAGGGAGGTGGCCATAGGCACATTCAAAGAGGTGGTATGTATAAAGACAGAGAAGGGGTCAGACAGAATGATCAGAGGAAAGGAATCACAGAGGTAAGGAGTGTGTGAGACGGTGATGCGAAGAGGTGCAGTAAAGCTGAGTTAGCTGAGGGGATGAGGTGGGTAGCAGAATAGGAGGAGGAGGAGGTTGGACGAGCAGCTTGCGGTGACAGGATGGCATAAAGAAGCCATCTTTACTGCACTGACCGCAAAGAGAATTTGAACTCTTAACGAGCGGGGGTGACATAACTGCATCGATATATTGATGCAAGCATATTTTGTGTAAAAGTCTTGAACCAATTCAGCATGAGTTTCCACGTGCTTGTACTTTGGTCTTATATTCCTGCACTTTTAAACTGCAAACCAATTTCTCCCCCTATGGCAAACTGGTCAGACTCTACAGCAAACTGAATAGAAGCACCCCACGCCCCCAGCTCAGGTGCCCATCTAGCAATGTCAAGTGTTTCGAGATGTCCTCCTGACATGAAAGGTGCTGTTTCAATTGTATTGCATCTCTCAAGAAACTCCTGCAACTACCTCTTAACACCGCCGCTGGTACCATTAGCTTCAGTGGGCTGGCTCTGCCCTGACCAATTCGCTTTCGAAATCTACCGCCCTCGGCATAAAATCGATGCATGCTCACAAACAAGATTTTATTCTGTGCAGAGAAAAGTATGGTATCCACTGCAGGCGTGAGGCTGCCAAGCCAAAGTTCACAAACACTGGTACCAGGCTGCCTCACTAGAATATTAAAACCACAAAATAAAACAACAACACAGACGTGTTTTCAGTGATGCAGTTCACAGGAGTCCTTATTTCAGGATGCAACAAATCAGTAGAAAACAAGAGGGCACAGGTTTGGAGTTGGAAAGGGCCAATTTCAGGACAGACACCAGGAAGTTTATGTTTACCCAGAGGATAATTAATGACTGGAAAAAGGATGCCAGGGAGGCCGTTGGACTAATTTTTTGAAAAACTCTTGATGCTGTGTGCTGTGGTGGGGGATGGTAGGGAGTGTGTTCTGGAGCGATGAGGTTTGATAGATCGAACCAATCTTCATCCAAACAAATCTAATGTGAAGCTTTGTTTTTGAAAATATTCAAGCGTCGTGTTCTCTCTCTCTCCTCCCGCCCCAACTATTATTTGGACTCAACTTCCTGGAGTCCTGTGACTGTTTGGTGAATGTTTCAAACATTTTTAGAGACTAATGTTGACATTCTCTCACACCGAACTTTGTAACAATTGCAGTCGGACACCATTGTAACATGCCCTGGTATATCGCGGGTCCCACAAGCAATACATAGGAAGCGATGTCAGCAATGATTCCCGCACACAGCACAGAGGAAGTGACGTCAGTGCATCCATGCTCCATTTGCAGCACGGGTGGTGGGGGAGGGTAGGGGATGGGATATTTTTGACCCCAATCACCAGATTATAAAGGAGTCCAAGCACTGTCGTAGCTTTAACCCGTATATTCATTTGTTTGTTTACTTTACCTGCTTTGGTGTCTGTGCAGATTTCGTATCTATTTTAAGAAAGAAAAACAGAGAGAAAAAAGGATATTCAAGTCTGATCAATATGGCTCGGTAACATAACTCACTTATAACATCCATAAAGCACTTATTCTAAATCATACTCCAGTGTAATGAAACTACTTTATCAATCAGGATTTCACCGCCCATTGATCGTCAGCTCTATAGGACCATTAAAGCAAAGAGATCACTTCATTCACTGTTACTGGCATCATGTCACAGAGGGTCATTCAACCATTCCATGCAAATACTAGAACTGGTCACACCTTGTTGCTAAGCTAACGATACAGAGCTGTGTCTTGAAATGCCTTCTGACACCTCCCCCCACCCACCCCAAACCCCCTTTAGTGACGAGGTCACAATAGGAGGAAAGAAGACAGGAGAATTCTCTTGTCAACAGCTTGCATTTATATAGCGTGCTGCACCAGGACAGCATCTCAAAGCACTTTAATCACTCCAGGTGATTGATCCTCTACTTTCTATGGAGTTTGTTGGATACAAAGAATATTTGATTCATCAGAACAAAAGGTTCCATTCTTATAATAATAATAATAATCCTTGCATTTGATATAGCGCCTTTCACGTCGGGAGGACGTCCCAAAGCGCTTCACAGAACACACTGTAAAGTGAATTGACTGTATATTTATGGGCGAATGCGGCAGCCAATTGCGCACAGCAATGTCCCACAAACAGTCGTAGATTGAAAATGACCAATTTGTTATTGTTTTTGATTTTGGAGGGATTATTATTAGGCTCTGTGTGGAGTAAGGAAACTTGCCCAAGGTTTCGCCCTCTGCCTGGAATTGAACTCAGGTCTCTCACTTGCAAAGCGAGTGCTCTAACCACTGAGCTACAGGACTCCACGTCCTGTATTTTATTCCATTTAAAAGCGAAACTGTAGCAGCTCAGCATTGATCTGGTTTATTAAAGACTTTATTTGCAACAACAAATTAATTGCATTTATTTAGTGAGTTTCACATCCAAGGCTCTGGATAGATGAGGGTTTTCATCCGAGCTGGGTTTTGGATTTGGGAGGAGTAAAGGACAAGGAGGTGGGGATGTGAAGATGACTGAAGGCGCAGTCAAAGAGGAAGGTCTTGAGCCAGATCTTGGAAGGAGGCGACGAAAGGGGTGAGCTGATGGGACTCTGGGATGGAGTTAATATTTATATTTGAGGTTTATTGAGGCTATTTGCATGTTTTAAATGCCCTGCTAGGTAAGGAGTCCTATAGCAGAGTGGTTAGCGTGCTTGCCTCACAAGTGAGAGAACCTGGATTTGATTACCAGGCAGAGTGAAACCTTAGGCAAGTTTCCTTATTCCACACGCCTCCGGTGACCGAACAGTAAGTAGGAACCCGGTTGTTAGTCGATTGGAGGGGGTAATAAAAAAAATGTGATCACTCAATCCATGACTGTTTGTGGGACACTGCTGTGCGCAATTGGCTGCCACGTTCACCCACAAAATACAGTCAATCCACTTTACAGTATTTCTGTGAAGTGCTTTGAGATGTCTCAAGTGCAAGGATTATTATTATTAAGCAGGAAAACAAAGATAAGCCATGAACATGTCGCTGGGATAAAGAAACAATGCGGCTGTGGGTGGGGTTGGATGTGGATTGCATAGAGGTCAGGTGTCAGCCTGGCTCAGTTAAAAGCAATCTCACCTCTGGGTTCAAGCCCCACGTGGGGGACTTTGAGCTCACCATCTAGATACAGTGTCGGGGAAATCTGCATTGTTCGCAGTACGGGCCAGTCCTTTGAATGAAACATTAAACCAAAGTTCTGTGCCTGTTCAGCTAGACATTAATGATATCGCGGCACTTTTCAGCGCCTTGGGACGTCCTCCCGACATGAAGGGCGCTATGCAAATATAATCTTGTTGTTGTTGTTTTCGAAAATACAACAATCTCCCAGATAAAATAGACAGGGATTCATTTCATGGCTATTTGTGGGACATTGCAATGTGTCCTGTTTGCCTACAAATATATATATGAAAGCACTGCACTTTACAGGAAAATCATGTGAGGTCTTTTGAGTCATTTCGACGACTTGATGAGGCGCTACATCAAATACAAGAAAACTGAAAGATTTTTATATTTTTTAAAATATTTTGGCACAACCATTTAAAAGCATAGCGGCAGTCAAAGTGGAGGATACAGGAGAAAGATCAAAAGGAAACGTTGTATTAAAATGTGAAATTACATCGTAAGGAAACGGATATCCAGTTCCCAGAATCCAGGCCAAAACAAGGCACAACCCCCTCCCTCCCCTTCTTGTCCGATGAACATGTCAAGATACTCAACCTGGCAGGAATATTAATGATAATCTTTGAATTTGATATAGCGCCTTATCATATTCACTGAGACGTCTCAAAGTGCTTCACAGATTATACTATAAAGTGATGCAACTGTGTGTTTGGGGGAGGAGGGGGCGCAAATGCAGCAGCCAATTTGCACACAGCAGTGACCAACAAACAGCCATGACGATTTGGTGGGGGGGGGAAAGAGGAGAAACTGTAGGCTATGAAACCTGGAGAAACTCCCTTTTCTTTATGAAGAGCATTATTTAACATCCACCTGGAAAGGCAGATGAAACCTAGGTTTAATGTCTCATCTGAAGAACGGAACTTCCAACAATGCAGAACACCCCCCATAACCCTACTGGAGTGCCAGGAGAAACCACGTGGGTTCCAAGTCGTGGGAAACAGGGAGAAACCTTTGATGTCCACCTGAACAGGCAGACGGAACTTTAGTTGTATGTCTGACCCAAGGAAGACACCTCTGACAATACTGAGTCAGAGTTTAACAGCTGAGCCAGGTTGACACAAGGAAATGTCCTTATTTAACATATTCAATCCAAAAAGAAGCAGAACCACAAAGCAGGATGACTGAGGAGGGCAATAAATAGCCAAATAGCCAACGTTTGACTTCAAATCAGAAAGTTGTGGGTTCACATAAGGACTCTGACCTTGCTGTCTAGGCTGAAACCCTACATTGCTGGAGGGAGCGCTGTATTGTCAGAGGTGTCTTCCTTGGATCAGACATACAACTAAAGTTCCGTCTGCCTGTTCAGGTGGACAGTAAAGGTCCCATGGCGCTATTCGAAAAGATAAGGGAGTTTCTCCCTGTGTCCTGACAACAATCTCCCAGAGAAAATTGGCCATTCACTCCTTTGCTGTGTGCAAATTGACTACCTCAAAAAAAAATTCAGTTCGTCTTCAAAACACTACTCAATCACAACTTTACAGGACATCCTGTAAAGAGCTTTGAAACGTCTCAATGATATGATAAGGTGTTATATCAAATGCAATGATTACTATCTTTATTCTGGTCACAAGGAAAAGGATCGGGCAGTTCAGAAAATCTGTAAAATCTGCTTTACAGAGAAATCACATAAACAGTCAAAGTATGCAAATGTTTGGCACAGATTTCTGGAATCAGGAGGAAAGGGGAATTGAAACTCTTGAAACACTGCCAAACAATCCATTTTCTAAATTGGGTTGTTTGGAATTGTAATTTTATCTCGAATTTACTTCCAAAAAATTATTTTGAAAGTAGTAGCAATGTAACCTAAATGGAATACCCAAATCAGGCCAAGGTACAATGAGCCTGTTAACATAAGCTATGAACCAACACTTCTGGTTTCCTAGATACATTTGGCAAAGTGTGAAAACCTTCAAGGTAGCCAGTTAGACTCAGAAGTCTCTTTGACATTGAGAAGCGAGGTTGTCCACTGTTCAACAGTGTGGCCACTAGAAGGCAGCAGGACACAGATCCAAATCAATTCGATAAATCAAAGCATTTCCATTTTCAAAGCAGCAACAGCAGAGAGGGTGGGGAATTCGAAGCAAAACATGTGCAAAAAACATGTCCAGAAAACTCAGTTTGTTAAGATTTCTGATCCATTTAGCTTGACTGTTTTACAACAACAGAATGCATTGATATAGCGCTCCTCACGCAGAGCACTCGACAATGGTGGAGCACAGTCCAGTTGCTTCTTGATTATCATTCACTGTAGCTTTTATAGCAATATTACAGCACCTTTCACATGACGACATTTCAAAGTACTTCGCGGGAATCACTGTAAGCTGGAGTGACTGGGTATTTTGTAACCCTCAGTAATGAAATGAGTGACCAATTTTATCTGGTGATTGTTGGCCAAGACACAAGGAGAAATTTCCTTCTGTTTCAAGTAGTTTAACGTCTCGTCTGAAGGATGACACCTCTGCAATGCAGCCTGCCCCCCCAACACAGCACTGGATCGCGAGCCTGGATGGTGAGCAAAAAGTCCTGATGTGAGGTTTGAACCCACAACCCTCTCACCCACAGGCGAGAGCGATACCAACTTAGCCGGGCTGACACTTCCCCCAACATCAGGTGGAAGCTGCCAAATGAGGAAGAAGGAACGTGTTTCAAAAAAACTTTATAACCACAAAAGTTTCTTTGAAGAAGATAATGGTTGATTTGTGCGTTTAACGCAAGACTAAATACAGTTCATTTTTTTTTAAATGACAATAATAACAGTAATCGTCACAAAATCTGTATGTTTTGTGTGAATTACTATAATATGAATCTGTATATTTTGTGTAACTATATTTTGTGGGCGTTTCGCCCTGACAATATACAGTCAATTCACTTTACAGTACATTCTGTGAAGCGTTTTGAAACTTCCCGAAGACGTGATACGGAGTGATATTAAATGTAAGGATTATTATTAAAATCCAGTCTTCCATCACAATTTAACAAACAAAGGCCGAGCTTGAAAGCCATTGGCTAGAATTGGGAATGTTGAAATCTTTTGTAGCAGAAAATTAGTTTAAATGCAGGAAGTGCCGTATTAAAAGAATAACAGAGAATTCTGAGGCAATCGAACCTAAAACTATTTTGGGAGTCAGCCACATGCGAAAACCGATCACCGTGCTAAAGAGTATCCAAACTGGACCCAGAGTTCCACATATGTACACCACGTACACACAGAAATGTCCCTGTCTGCTCCACGTGGAGACATGTAGCTCAGTGGTTAGAGCACTCGCCTTGCAAGCGAGACACCTTGGGCAAGTTTCCTTACTCCACACGCCTAATAATAATCCCTCCAAAAAAAAATTGGTCATTTTCAATCCACAACTGTTTGTGGGACACTGCTGTGTGCAATTGGCTGCCACATTTCGCCCATAAATATACGATCAATTCACTTTACAGTCTATTCTGTGAAGCGCTTTGAGACGTTGAGAAGACGTGAAAGGCGCTATATCAAATGCAAGGATTATTATATATTATTATGTCTACCATCGGTGACCGGGCTTTCAGCCTCTCTGCCCCCACACTCTGGAACTCCATCTCACAGTACCTTCGCCTCGCTTCCCCCCTTGCCTCCTTCAAGACCGGTCTCAAGACCCTTCTCCTCGTTCATGCCTTTGGTCGTCCTCCCACCTCTCTGCCTCCCTCACCCTTACACCACCCCTCCCCCATGCTCAGGCCCTGACACCTGACTGTTCAGCGCTTTGGGACATCCTCCCGACGTAAAAGGCGCTCTATAAGTATGTTGTTGTTGTCTCTGGAATGGAAAGCCTCTCTCTGTCCAAGTAACGGCATGATCTGCGTACCTAATTCTGGAGAGTATGAGTCACAGAGGTTGGAAGACCCAAGGTTTGGGGACTCCAGAGTGTACCCTAGGGGTAACGGGTTAAAGCCTCTGAGAGCCCCATCTAGCAAGTGTGCCCCTGTTTGTCTGTCTCAGACCACCTTATTCTGTAAGAAGTTACTCTTTGACCGAGCCTTCAGCTCCCCTCTCGACTCTCTTCCCCCTCCTCGCTCCCTCCATTCCCTCCCCTCACCCTGACCATTTCCCCCCACCTCGCTCCCTCCCTTCCCTCCCCTCACCCTGACCATTTCCCCCTCCTCGCTCCCTCCCCTCCCCTCACCCTGACCATTTCCCCCTTGCTCGGGTCATGACCCAACTGTGCAGCGCCTTGGGACGTCCTCCTGACGCGAAAGGCGCTTTATAAATGGAATCTTGTTGTTGTTGTTGTTGTTGTTACGGTACCTTGAAAATGCACAGACTCAGTGGCAAGATAGAGCACCTACCCTCGGAGTGGCCTTTGGGCACAGCCTGAAGGAAGCTCAGAATGTCCGCATTTCCCGATAGCTTGTAGTAGTGAAGAGCATCGTGACCCAGCGCATCCACCACCTTCAGGTCGGCACCTCTCTTGACTAAAATTTCAACAGCGTTCCCACTGCCGTGCTCACAGGCCAACATCAGAGCCGTCCTAAGGTCAGGGCAAAGGAAGTCAGTGATTACAACAGCAACTCTCTCTGTCCCTCCCTCACCTTGTTCGAAGTCCATCTCAAGCCAACAAGAGTCGTGTGGAGTCAGCGTTCCTCAAAGTAAAAATTGGTCATTCATTTCATGGCTGTTTGTGGGACATTGCTGCACACACCTGGGCTGCCGTGTTTGCCTACATGTCACTCCACTTTACAGTAATATCCTGTGAAGCACTTTGGGACATCCTCTCGATGTGAAAGGCACTTTACAAAATTCAAGGATTAGTATTATTAACAACAACAACTTGTATTTATGGATGCTCTTCACACAGGACAACGTCCCAGAGAGCTTGCGCATCCAACCTCTTTGACCATGCAACTAGTCATCTGTCTCCTCCTCCCACCCTCGGCTCCCATACCTCAGTTTGCATTTATATAGCGCTGCTTCACATCGAATAATGTCGCAGAGCACTTTACTGTGGGGAGGACAGCCGCTAAGCAGGAGAGAGAGAGGGACGTGACCATACATAGAGTGGTAAGGCACAGAGACAGGCCATTGAGCCCACAGCTTTCGGCACTGTGGAGTACTGTAGCTCAGTGGTTAGGGAATTCGCCTCACAAGCAAGAGGACCTGGGTTCGATTCCCAGACAGGGCGAAACATTAGGCAAGTTTTCTTACTCCACACGCCTCTGTCTACCTAGCAGTATGTGGGAATACGGTTGTTAGTCAATTGGTGGATCGTTTTCTAGGGATAATAATCCCTTAACATTTTTAAAAAAAATTTGGTCACTCAATCCCGACTGCTTTTGGGACACTTCTGCGTGCAATTAGCTGCCCCCACAAAATACACAGTTAATTCACTTTACAGTATATTCTGTGAAGCTCTTTGAGACTTCTCGAAGATGTGATAAGGCGCCTTATCAAATGCAAGGGTTATTATTATTATTATTGTGTTCCACATTCACAGACTCCCACTCTATAGTGAGTGTATGCCATGCTGTCCCAACTCCCCTTCTCTTGATACCAAATGTAACTGAATGGAGTAGTTCACTCCGCCTCCAATCTAGAAAACATGTACCAAGTAAGGTCAGAGTTGAGAAGCTCTGTTTACACAAACACAGTAACTGCTTACTGTGTGGCTCTTTATCTGCGCTATTCATTGCCCTCACAAAGCCGACCAATAGAGATTTTCTGCACAGATGAGGCCATCCAGGGGATGGGCCTGAGAGAGAAATTAAACCTTGAACAATTTTAAGACATGGGCAACTTGACAACCTCGGGAAGGAACAGTTAAATGAATTTGGATTGTAACCTTGCAGTGAACCGATAAGTAAAGCTCAGGAATCCAGTCCATTTAGACTTCTGCACAACATACATTTCCTGATCGTTACTCTGAGCGACAGGTGGACCAGCAGTTGAAATTGTTTGCACGAATGTGGCCCCTTCCCTCAGCTCTGGATGCTCTCCAACAGAACAATTACCACTGCGGTATTTAATAAGAGGAATTTTTGTTTTGCATTGGTGGATACTTTTACGCAGAACTGCACAGAATCTGCAGCACAAAAGCAGGCCTTTGGTCAGGCTGGTCCATACCCTCCTAATCCTCTCATTAATATTCCTCGAGAGAGAAAAAAAATTTAGACACTAAATTGGACTGTTTGGGGGACTTTGCTGTGTGCAATTGGCTGCCATCTTTCGCCCACAAAATACAGTCAATCCACTTTACAATATATTCTGTAGAGCTTTGAGACGAGACGTCTCAACGGTGCAATAATGCCCCATAGCAAATGCGAGGATTATTTATTATCTTCTCACTTTTCTTCCCTTCTATCCTCTCTCTCTCTTCCCCTCACCTCACTCTCTCTCTCTCACGCACTCTTTCCGCCCTTATCGCTCTCATATAGAAGTGAAGGTGGGGTTGGGAGATGGGGATGGTGTGTGTTGCACGAAAAAGAGAAGCACCTACAGTAAATGTATTCACAAGATAAAAACTATTCAATCGATAAGACAATCGGCATTTGTCACTATCACTGTACAATAGTCCGTTCAAACTCCAGAGCTTGACATCCACAGAGGCTTCTTTGTTAAGGAAACTTCCATTCTTAGGATATCCCTGGATTTGTTGGCGAGTGGGAGGGAATAGTTGGAAAAAATTCTCTCTGTGTGGGCGGAACAGGATTGATTTGGAAACGGGACAGATTTTAATTCTTTTTGTATTTTGCTGAGTTTAATATAAAAATTCTTCGAAATCGTGAAGATGCAATTCACTGCAGTACAAACAGGACTGTACTGAAATAGCAACAGGTTATCTGAGCTGCTGGCTTCAACAGGGAGGTGCACGACAGCAGCAAAATACACAGTGAGAGAGAAACAAAATCCTTTCAGTTGATAAATCCCCTTATCATCTCGTCCAGAAATTTCAAAGCAATTCACAGGACAGTACTTCGCTGTAAATTATAGTGACTGTGTTTTCAAATATGCCAAGTTGACAGAACATGAAAGGACAAGTGGAGTCTTGTAGTGTAGTGGTTAGCACGATCGCCTCACAAGCAAGAGGACTGTGGCATTGATTCCTGGGTGGGGTGAAACCTTAAGCAAATTTCCTTATTCCACATGCCTAGCAGTAAGAAGGAACCCAGTTGTTAGTTGATTGGTAGATCTCTTTCTGAGGGTAATAATCCCTCTAAAAAATTGGGAACTGTTGCACAAAATACATTGTGTGAAGCACTTTGAGACACCTCAATGAGATGATAAGGTGCTATATCAAATGCAAGGATTATTATTATTATTATAATAATAAGTTTAGCGTTGTTAAGAGCAACTTCAAAAGGGGTACCAGTAGGGATTTGTGTACACAGAGAACCATTAACATCTGGAACAGGCTTAGCAGTAAGGGTGGTTGAGGCCAGAATGTTGGTACAGTTTTCAAGAAACAACTCGACAGTGAGAATGGAGGACAGTAGAGTGGGAAAATCGGAAAGGAATAGAAGGGCATTAAGTCATCCAGAGCTCTTCTGTGATCTCGCACGTTAGTGGTCAATGGCACTACTGAAAAATGTAGGAATACAGAAACGTCCGGCACAGATTGGGAAGCAATCACTGAGGTCTATCCAGCACTTGCCAAACAAGTGTCCAAGACATGCAAATTGCCTTCTGATACAACCAGCTTCGTAAACACTCAGCTGCTCTTTGTCAGGATAGCACAGGGATCAAGGCAAGGAACGTTGATCAGAGGCCAACTAGAAATCCTTAAATGTTCTCAGCACAGTCCCGAGGCCCCAGTGCTATTTAACACAAGACTCCCACACTCGTGCCTTCTCCCACTTTAATAACTGCTGGATTTTGTTGGGATTTGAAGAAGGTAATTCACCTAAATGGCATACAGATGTAGAAACGGGCAAAAGAAGTCTCAAAATCTCACATAGAAAACGTACAGCACAGGAGAAGGCTGTTCAGCCCATTGTGTCTGAGCCGGATCTTTAAAAGAGCAATCGTTTCAGTCCGATTTACCTGCTTTCCCCCCACTCCCAGACACAACCCGATCATTTACTTCTTTTTAGATATCTATCTATAGAACCATAGAAACCCTTATGGTTAAAACCTTAAAATCTTAGGCTTAAGAACACAATATTGATATTTAATATTGTGCAAATTTTGCAAAACAATTTCTTTAATCTAGGATCAGGTTTTCTTTCCACAATAACAGGTTATCCTGTTATAACTGGACAAGAACGCATCTGGTGTCAGTTCTTAAAACCTCATCCATTTGGTGCAACAGAGAGCTGGATAAACACACACTGCTTCAGATTGCTAAATAATCCCTCCCTATCCACCCCACCATCAACTGAATGGTTCTTACACATTCTGCCCCCTCAGTCTCTGGAAGTCCATCCTGAAGACTCTTCCTCAGCTTGTTCCAGATCTGCCTCTAGACCTACCTTGTGGACCACACTTTCTGGCAGCCAATTTGGACATGTCCTACAACAGCCATTAAGCGAATGAAATGTTATATCTGTCGGGTTTGTTGGCCAGGACACCGGTAGAAACTTCCTTCTCGTATCGAATAGTGCCGTGCGATCGTGAAAGTCGACCAGAACAGGCCTCGATTAACGTCTCATCTGAAGGACAACCCAGTGTCTTTCCCTAGCACTGCATAGACTGAGTTTAACCACCCAAAGTGGAGCTTGAACTCACAACCTTCTGACTTGGAGGTAAGAGTACTACCGACTTCAGCCAATTGTAAAGCCATGAAGGAATGCCCATTACTCACCTGCCATTCTTGTCTCTGGCATCAATGTCAGCTCCCTGATCAATCAGGTAACGACACACCTCGGCATGGTTGCTCTGGGCAGCCTGGATCAATGGCGTAAAACCTTCCTGCAATGCAACATAAATGTATAGTTTCAAAGAAGCAGCAAAAAAATGTCTGTCCCAGTGGAATTTACTACTTCACTTTACATAACCACTTTGCTTTGAGTGAATGTCTCAAAGAGATTCACATGAACGTTACAAAACAACAAGAACTTTACAGGAAATGTACAACACGGAAACAGGCCATTTGGTCCACCCAGTCTGTACCGGTGTTTATACTTGAAACGAGTCTCCACCCTCTCCTTTCTCTGACCCATACCCTTCTATTCCTCTCTCCCTCATGTGAAAATCTAGCTTCTTCCTGAATGCATCTATGCTGTCTATTTTAATCACCACTTTGGGCTTGAAGCGAGTTCCACAATCTCTGTGTGAAGCAGTTCCTCCTTTACAGGGTGATCCAAACTTCTGGCTGTTGAGGGTCGGATTCCCTATTTGAGAAACGTCTGCAGGTCTCATAAGTAATAATTTTGTGCTTCTCTTCCAGAAACAAACATAATATATACGGGTTATGGAGGAAACAGATGGGCCAGGTGAAATGGCGGGAGGGTGGGGGGGTGGAGAAATCACCAGTTGGTCCACCCTGACATAAAATAATGTCTACGGGGATGGACAACAAGCAGGGTGAAGGGGAGAGGGACAGGGAAGGTGCCCAAAGGAGGGAGTGATGCACGGGGAGGAGAGGAGGGGGAATCCACCCATGTTCAAAAAAGCCGCGGTGAATAAAAAGGTTGGTTTTCAAGAAGGTTTTGACAAAAGGATTTGGGGGAAGAGAGTTCTAGAGGGGGCTGGGGACACGGTGACCAAAGGCTCATTCACCGATGTTGAGAAGGAGGGGGTGAGAACAACAACAACTATAAAATTACATTTGTATAGCGCCCTTCACATTGCGAGGAGGTCCCAAGAAGTGAGCAGAGAGTATGGGCTGGAGGATATTGCCCAGGGATAAGCCAAATGGTATATAAGCCTCGGTACTGGACAAATGTTAACATAAAGCAATCAGATGTACCAACCCAAACTTGATTTGACTTTAATGAAAACAAGCACAGCTGCAGGTGAATTACCAACTGATTTAGGGAACAAAATGATTGGCTCCCCCACCCCAAGTGGTCACAAAGGGAAGGCCATTATTTGCTGTCATGTTGAACTTGACCATCTCACAGTTCACCCAACTTAAGAGCATTTGCCATTGGCGATGGATTGAGTTTAGGTTTTGGATTATCGGCCAGTTTATCGCTTCTACCACTGAGCAACACTCGGCAATTATGTGCAATGCAGGAAGACGAGAAGGTCATTCAGCCCATTGAACCTATTCCAACAGTTTATTAGATCAGGCCAGATTTTTATTTTTTTTGAAATGTCCCCATCTTTTTTTCATACCTCTTAATACCATTATATCCCAAGTGTCTATCTGCAGGGTGACCCTGTTAACTAGATAGTGCAAGATTCACTTATAACTCAGGTATTCAGCTACTAAGCTCCAATCCTCTGGAACTCCCTTCCTCTATCTATTTTTCCAACCCGCTATATCTGTCTTTAAATCCCACCTTAGAATTTATCTCTTCGACCACACAAATGGTCTCCTTCCCCTCCCTTGATCCACGCAGCTCCCCACTCCTTCATTGTTAAGCGCTCTGAGATGCTAACCTGCATGAAGAATGCTATATAAATGCAAGTTGCTGCTGTTGTTGGGTCCTGTGGATGTATGGGTACCTAACGTACAGTATAAGTTTCACGCTAGCAATGCTTGCGAGTGAGGTCACAGCTGACCCTTTGGCTTCCTGGAGGTGCTATCAGGCGACCTAATGACCCAGAAGTGAGGCTTGCAGCCTTTTTTTTATCATGGACACTTTTAATGACATGTTAAACTGAGGTCCCATCTGCCTTTCTCTATGTGCAAGTTAAAGATCCCGTGGCATCTGAAAAGAGAAGGGAATTTCTCCCAGTGTCCTGGCCAACAATCCTCCAAATAAAGTTGGTCATTGACTCCATGATTGTTTGTAGGACATCCTACTTGCTTGAATTGGCTACCACATTTGCCCACAAAACACATAGTTACTGCACTTTACAGGCCGATCCTATGAAGCACTTTGAGACGTCTCTACAATGTGGTAAGGCACTATATCAAATGCAATGATTATCATCACCTTTGGTCAAACCTCCGATTTAGGGTTCCTCTACCAAACCCATTCACTCCCCAGTGTCTCAATTCCTTTCATTATTTTTAAACATTTTCAAATCATACCATTATTTCCAATTGTCCTTCTGACCAGGCAATCGCTGGGCAATTAACTATGAGGAATGAGAGTAAATGCAGGCCAGGAATCCAGTCTATCTAAATATAGATTTTATTTTTCTAATGGGCTGTGCTGCCAAAGGCAAAAATCGCAAATGTCAAAACATGTATTTTTGTTCCATTTGGAAGGGTTTCTGCTCTATAGCAAAGAGGTGAGCCAAAACAATCCGATAAGACTTTCACTTCAGCCTCACAGCATCATAGAACCGTAGAGATTTACAGCACAGAAAAGCTATTCAGCCCATCAATCAACAATCACAACTTGCATGAGGGGCCTCTCCTCTCAACAGTCAGGGACTCACTGGGATAAACTAATCTTTTCCTATATCTCTCTTCCAATCCATTGGATCCATAGTCCAGTTCCCGAGCCAGACCAGTCTGCAATACTTCAAGGCACTGTTGTTGACAGACCAGCCACTGTGACTGTGCTAACTCTTTTAAGAGCAATCCTTGTTCTGATTTACCTGCCTTTCCTCCCCCCCCATACCGCTATAGTTTATTCCGTTTTAGATATCTTCGCTTTTGAAAGCTAATATGGATTCTGCCTCAACTACCATTCCCGGTCGGGCATTCCATATCCTAACTACACTGTGGGTCAACATTTTTATCCTCAATTCCTCATTTACTCATTTGCTAACTACCTTAAATTGATACCTTCGAATCATTGACTTACTTACTAGTTTGTACAAGACCATCAATTCTGTCCTCTCTGCAGTCACAGTCCAACCAAGATAAACCAATTATTCCCTTATACCCCTCTCCCATTCCATTAGAATCCAGCAGTCTGGTTCCCGAGTCAGGCCGGTCAGTCCGCAGTACTATAGGACACTGTTGATGACAGACCAACCAGCCTGGGCCATTAGCAGGACTGGAGTGGTGAGTGGGAACTGTCAGTGAGGAACTGGACTAGGATTCTTCCCACTCTACCCCTGTTAACCCTGCAAGTAAAGCCCTAATGAGGAGGATGGTAGAAGTTGGACAAACAGTTGGAAGCTTGCCCAGACAATGTGCAAAGGCAACCTGTGTGGTTTTCGTTGGTTAAATTCCAACAGTACACCTAATGCAAACTCTGGCATCCCAACTCTTGTTTCTCAGAAACCTGTGCCTAATACTCTCTGAAATTAGATGAAGATTAGATTAAGGAGAGTGCACATTCCATTCCAGACACAGGGAAATTTTCCATGTGTAGCTGGAATAGGTCTTGTCTCAATACTCTTATTATTATTATAACAAAACTATAATAATCCTTAAATTTGATGTCACGCCTTTCATGTTGGGAAGTGTTTCAAAGTGATTCACAGGATTTTACTAGAAAATCTAATGACTATTTTGAGGGCTAACTCAGCAGCTAATTCGCGCACAGCAATGTCCTGCTAACAGCCACAAAGTGAATGCTGTTTGGAACTAACTATTTTCTTTATCCGGGGAATTGTTGTCCAGGACAACAGGAAAAACTCTGTTTGCTTTTCGAATAGTATTGCGAGATCTTTAACGTCCAACTGGACAAACAGATGGGACCTCAATTTAACTTTTCATCCAAAGGACAGCGCCTCTGATAATGTAGCACTCCCTTAGCTCTGAGCTCAAAGTCCTAACCTGGAGATTGAACCCACAAACTTCTGACTTGAGAACAAAATGTGACTTACAGAAATCCGCTAACTATTTGAAAGCAGAACATTCACTCTCAATGTTGGCAGAAAGATTTTGTGGTTCTAATAAGGGTTTCCAAGATATGAATGGGTTAGTTTCAATTAAAGTACAAGTTTCTATTGAGCATAAATGTGCAGCTGTTACGATGCTCATGTGTGGTCTCAAACCGGACTAAAATAGAAGCTCCAAAGTGATTTGGCTGAAAAACAATTTCCAAGAGGAAACATTTAGATCCGCGCACACACACTAACTCCAATCCTCAACAGAGCAGGAAGAACGAAATCCATTTTGCATCAGTTCTTATAGCTTATTGCGATAGGAATGTTTTTTTTCTCTACACAAGTTTAAAGTCCTGCGGTTTGACTGAATTTGGTCACAAACACAACATGGTCAAGGAAACACACTGCACGAGTAAATACACTGCACGAGTAAATACACACAACGTGGATTCACCCCCAACATACACACATATTTCTTCCCCAATGCCCACGCATCTTAATCCAGCCTTGTTCCGCCACTTTACTGGGGATAGTTTACTCCTGCTTCCCACACTCTACAACATTCTGACTTCTCGAGTGTCCTATCTTCCGGTTTTAAATGTCCCCATCGAATCTGCTTCTACAGACCTTCTGAGACAGTGTGAAGGACAGCGCCTCTGATAATGTAGCACTCCCTTAGCACTGCACTGAGCTCAAAGTTCTAACCTGGAGCTTGAACCCACAAACTTCTGACTCGAGACAAAATGTGACTTACAGAAATCCGCTAACTATTTGAAAGCGCTAGATATTTAAATGTCAGTGCATAGTTACAGGGTGTCAGACCTGCTCATTTGGTAGCACTCTCATCTCGGAGTCAAAAAGTTGTGGGTTCCCAGCCTAGACTGTGATTTCAAAGCCCCACAAATGGGGTGTAAACCTCATAGTCTAGGCTAGCACTCCAATGCAGTGCTGGGGTAACACAGCATTATTTGAGCTGCCATCCTTCGGATGAAATGACAAACTGTGCCTGTTCAGGGGACATCAAAGAATCCAGGCACAACTTGAAAAGAGAAGGGAATCTGTCCCAGTATCCTGGCCAACAAATCCCCCACATAAAATTGGTCACCCACTCCATGACTGTTTGTGGGACATTGCCGTGTGCAAACTGGCCACCATGTTTGCCTACAAAATACAAAGTCACTGCATTTTACAGTAAAATTGCAGTGCTTTGAAGGAGGGCATAATCTTAAAATTAGAGGCCGTTTAGGAGTGAAATTAGGATGAGAATGATGCTTTAGAAAATACAAGGATAAGTTTAATTATAAACAGTTATGCTAAAAACATACTGCTGATCATTGATTACAATTCTCCAGCACCATCAGATGTTAGTTAGCATTAGGATGCTTTTTTTGCAGCAGAATAAGGGTTCATTAAAGGGGAGACCTTACAGTAAATCCTCACCAGGTAATCAATACTTTACTGTAATTGCTATATTGGCCGATCCCTGAAGATTAACGGGAAACCACAGGTCAAACGCATTTCCACTCTGCCCTTCACAAGCTTCCATGACTACACTCTCAATGGAAGGTGTGCAGGTTTTAGCCGGTTATATCAACAAGGAACAGGAGTGGACCCTTCAGCCCCTGGAGCCTTTTCCGCCATTCTACTAGATCATGGCTGATCTGTACCTCAACTCCAATAACCCGTCTTTGCCCCATATTCCTTGATATCCTGACCTAACAAAAGTCTATCCACTTCAGTCTTGAAAATGTGAATGGATCCAGCAGCCACAGTCCTTTTTTGGGAGAGAGTTCCAGATTTCCACTACCCCTTGCCTGAAAAAATGCTTCCTTACTTCACTCCTAAACGGCCAAGCTCTAATTTTAAGATTATGCCCTCCTTGTTCTGGATTCCCCCACAGAGGAAATAGTTTCTCTGAATCTACCCTATTGAATCCCTTTATTATTTTAAACACCTCAATTAGATCATCCCTCAACCTCCTAAACTTAAGGGAATACAGACCAATCGTACATAACCTGTTAAATGCCAGGAATTCCTCCAATGCACACTCTAGGGTCCCCCAAGACTTGGCTCTTGCCAAACTGTGCCTAATGCTACTGAGGAATTAGATAAATTGGGTGCAAACCTTCCAGGGAGAGAGAGTGAGCATTTGATATAGCACCTTTACACATCTTCAAAACATCTAGAGCGCTTCACAGAATATAGTGTAAAGTGAATTGACTGTACAATTTGTGAGCGAAACACGGCAGCCAATTGCGCACAGCAGTATCCCACAAACAGTCGTGGATTGAGTGACCAACTGATGCTTTTTTTTTGAGGGATTATTACCCCTGGAAAAGCAATCTGCCAATCGACTGACAACCGGGTTCCTACTTACTACTCGGTAAACAGAGGGGTGTAGAGTACGGAAACTTGCCCAACATTTCGCCCTGCCTGGCCGGGAATCAAACCCAGGACCTCTCGCTTGCGAGGCGAGTGCTCTAACCACTACACTACAGGACTCCATAATGCTGAAACATCTCAAACGCTTCGCTGAATTTTACTGTAAAGTGTAGTGACTGGCTATTTTGCCACTGATGTCACTTCCTGAGCACTATACACCAGAAGTCTCCAATTTGAAAGATCTAGGTGAGTACATACCACATCCTTGGTGTTGATGGGACATTTCTGCTCACACAGGAGTTGTACAATGGAAACGGAGCCACCTGAAGCTGGAAATAACAAGATTGAAATTCAGCTTAGTGTTAAGTATCTTTTCAGCAAATCAAGCATCATTTACATTCCCATCTCAAAAATGAAATGTTTCAGCACAATAACCAGGTTCAAATCACAGCTCTATTCTGATCAGCAAGGTTAAGGACTTTTCCCCCACAAATCACTCAAACAGTTAAAAGTTCCTTTGACTTAAAATTCATGTTGCCGTCATTAACTGTGATCATTCAATAAAGCAACTAAGGTGATTGTAATCTGTGGGGAAATAGTTGCTTTACAGCCTTGTCTCCTGAAATAATCTTTACCATGTGTTAGATCTGATTCGCCAACCTTGTGTTTCTGCATCCAAGAAACAGATGGTGGCTTACTTTGGAAATCTTCACTAATCTCGGTAACAACAAATCAAAGCTCAAATCCAGACATGCCATTGTATAATAAAATCAATCAATCATTCACTTCACGTCTGTTCTTGGGACATGACTATGCACAAATTGGCTACAAGCACACAGAGTCGATGCACTTTACAGTAGATCCCGTGAAGCACTTTGGGACGTCCTCCCGACATGAAAGGCGCTGTACCAAATGTAAGGATTATTAATACAATAATACTTGTGTTTGATATAGCGCCTTATCACATCGTCGAGATAACTCAAGGACGCAGAATTTTACCATGAAGTGTTAGTGACTGTGTAATTATAGACAAATGCGTCTGTCAACTTGCACAGCAATGTCGCAAAGGCAGCCGTAAAGTGAATGAACGATTTTTCGTAAAAGAATTACATGAAACCCTCATCCACGCCTTGTCACTTTCAGACTTGATTGCTCTAATGTTCTCCTCGCCAGCCCTCCTAGTCTCAATCCTTCACAAGCTTCAAATCCATAGCCCCTGTCCCTTTCTTTATCGTCTTCATGACCCCATCACCCCCATTCGTGTCAGGCTCAAATGGCTCCCTAGGTCGCATTGGAATTTCTTCCAAATTTCTCCTAGAGTCAATCTCCATGTGATCCTGTGTACTATTTTTGATATACTCCTCTGTTTCTCTGAATTTAGTTGCTCAAAGATTAATGTTCTTAAAAGAAGAGCGAGAGCGCACGAGGGAGAGAGTAGTGGTGGCATCCATTACCTGCATGATGTACAGCTGTTCTTCCATTGGTGTCAGCACATTCCACTGGGCATTTGGACTGTGAAAAGGGAACAGTGACAAAGATTTTTAGCTCAGTCGTGTATCAAAGAGTTTGTATACATTTCGCACACAAGGTTAGTGAACAGACGAGTCACATTCCTCAAATTAGTCGGACGTTACATCCTGCAACACTGAGCTCGCCGACGAGATTAAAAATATAAACATTCTGACAGATATGACATGGCAGAGAGAGAAAATGAGAGTGAGATTGACCTTTAGTCTTACTAACAGTCAAACAATGTAATGCTTAATCCAGTCTGAAATGTTTAACCTCCCAAGGTCATTGTGCTTTACACTAGCAGCTGAACCAACTGCTCAAGTTAAAATTTATTACCGACTGACCGGGTTCTGGCTGGCCAAGTACTGAAAGAGCTTGAGATCATTTTGCTCTTTGGAAACTCAATGCAGTGTGTGATCCACAAAATCCTAACCTCCTCTCACCCCACACAAACTGTACAATCACGGAAAGGCTACAGCAAAAAACATTGTGTGAATGTTTGCGTGAATGTGTGTTAATGTCTGTTTGTTTGTGTATATGTGTGTATCTGTGTGCGCGTTTGCACCCATGTGCGGGTGTGTGCTTGTATTTGGGTATATGTGCCGTGTGTGATGTATAGGCCTGTGTTTTGGGTGCTTGTCGGTGTAGTCTCCCCTATTGCAGGTATCCATCCATCTTCCAATTGCAAGTTTTCATTACATTCGAGCAAAAAGTTATACTAGACCAGCAGCTGAACTTTTACTTAGATAAAAAGACAAAACAAATTCCAGTACACCATTGGAGTGAGTGGGGTTTTCACAGCAGTGCTGGATGAGCAGTTCCACACGGTCTAAAAGTCTAAGACGAGGTGCAACTCCAGTCCTCTAGTTTGTCACCCCCTTCCCCCTCCTCTCATCTTAATTCAACTGTTTAAGGCTGATGCCAAACAACCGTTTTCCTTCCTGCCTTGACCTTGGGCAGTTATGTCTTTCATTTACTTTGGTGTAAATCATTAACGCACAATACTGCAATCGGCATTTACAAGTCAGTCTCTTAGTCAGTCAGAAGAACGTGTGCTGGTAATAAGGGAGATGGTGCAAGTCACATACACCCTGTCCATGCAGCTCTCTGGTGACACTTTTCCACACTTACACGAGCAGTCAGCATACCTGAGCGTGGTTCTCATTAGGCTGCTCCAGTACAAAAAAAAGGCAATGGCACTGGATGCCGATGTTAATCTAACTGTTTTAGACAAACACTCTCTATCATATCACACTAATGTAAAAAAAAACATTTTATTTTGTGTTTTCTTAGTATCAAATAACACATTTTAGGACGGTTGCAATCTAGAATGTTTGGTGAGTTTAATGCTGACATTTAGTTGAAGACTGTGTATGTGGTGCAGGGGTGTGTGTGTGTGTCTGTGCATGTGTGGGGGTCACAGAGAGGTGGGGGCACAAAACCACACAGAACACAGTTTAGACTTAAGGTACTCTAAAAGGCATTAACTTGCAGCGCAGTTTTAAAATAATTTTAATTACGTTTTTTCGGCTTAAAATAGCAGGATCCAAGCACTGCCTCCATCCTCGCCTGCCTTCATTACGTGTCAGACTAGATCCTGGTGAGTCAGGTAAGATTATCTTAATGGGAAGCGTAGTTCAGGAAGGAGAGAGGGAGGGAGAAAGGGAGGGAGGGGAATAAAGACATGGGATGGCAGGGGTGAAAGGGATAGAAAGGAGGTATAAGAAGAAAAAAATCAAAACGAAGTAAGGAAGAATCCAGACACACAGAAAATATAAAGAAACTGTGACCATAGTGAAGTAGAAATAAAGGGAACATAAAATGAGAGAGAATAAAAATATGCAGTAAAGTGGAGACTCCAAAATTAAAATGAGGAGTGACCAAGAAGGGGAGGAGTTTTGATTAGATGGACCTCACTAAACCAACGCACACTCTTCACCACTGCACGATGATAAATGCCGGCTCTGGGGGGGTGTGAACTTATAACCGGAAACCTTAGGACAAGCTCACACCGTCCAGGGGTAACCTATTTACATTTGCCGACCTTCTGCAGTGAGACTCGTAACAAGATTACCAGCTCGCATTGCCCGAGAGTATTCCCATTCACCAACCTTACACAGTGAAACTTGTAATAAGGTTACAAACTCGCACTGCCCAGGACAAGCTCTCCAGGACGCTACCCCGTGTAAAGGGCGCTATATAAATGCAAATTGTTGTTGTTCCTACGATCACCTCCCCTCTCCCCGTGGCTCAGTGTTAAACTCTGCCACTGTCAAGTGCACTGATGAGGGGTCCAATATAAATGGAAATTGTTGTTGATTTTATTGTTAAACTCTCTGAGATGCTTCTCCAAGTGAAGGCTGCTATATAAAAGCAAGTTGTTGTAGTCGTGTATTAAATTTACAAGTTGTGCAGTGACTGCTGGTAATACGGTTAAAATGTGTTATATGGAGGGTATCCATTTAAGATAATAACACTTGCATTTATATAGTGCCTCTCACATTTTGTTAAGATGCGGAATGGCCTGCTGGGTAGAGTAATCGAGAATCCACATTATAACAGCAATAATACTCCTTGCATTTGATATAGTACCTTATCACATCTTCGAGAATATACTCTAAAGGGAATTGACTGTATATTTTGTGGATGAAATGCGGCTGCCAATTGCGCACAGCAGTGTCCCACAAACAGTCGTGGATTGAGTGACCAAATTATCAGAAACTTTCAACAGGGAACTAGATAAAGATCTATAGAGGAGTAATTCACAGGGGAAAAGGCAGGTGAATTGATTGCTCTTTCAAAGAACAGCACAGGCACAATGGATTGAATGGTCTTCTGAAAGGTTGAACAGGGAGAAGCTATTTCCATCATTAGGGCTGGTGACCGGGGTTATAGATTCAAGATCACCACAAGTGAAAGGAGAGCTTTTTTTTATGCTGAGTTGTTGCGATGTAGAACGCCCTGTCAAGTAAGGTGGAATGCAGTGCCTTGGGACATCCTCCCGATGTGAAAGGCGCTATACAAATGTAATCTTGTTGTTGTTGAGTGTCCATGTGGGTTTCAAGAGGGAAGTAGACAGGTATGTGAAAGATAAGAGACTTGAAGGGATTTGGAGATACGGCAAGGCAGGGGGACTGAAAGAGCAGCTTGCTTTGAGAGCTGGTGCAGACTTGATGGGCTGAATGGCCTCCTTCTGCGCTGTAAATTTCTATGGCGTCTTAAGAAGGTAGAACTTGCGATATGGCAAAGAAGGGCGACACACCAAGGCGTTCACGGATATGTGCAAGTAGGATTGGAAAGTTACACAGTAGCATCTGGTGGTTGCCAATATATCAAACCAGATACAGGAGTTATGTCAATGTTGACTTTTGAAGATAGCCAAACAGTTCCATTTGTTTCACAGACAAATGGGACATTTGTATTTTTTTTGGAAAAGAAAAACAATATTGATTTAATAGTCAATTAAGAATGGAGGTGAAAGATGGGGAAGGGTTGGGAAGAGAAATTCCCTGCGAATTAAATGTTCAGATTCCCATCCCTAAATATGTAATCCGTAGCCACAATAATTGCTAAGCTCCGGAGGGTGTTACATGTATTTGTTTCCCAAACTCATTAAAATTCACAGAGAAGCTAACAAAGTAACTGCACTCAGCAGTTGTGAACTGACTGCACCGTGATGTGACTGTGAGGGTCAGTGAACCAGAGAAGCTCGGACTGTAAGGCGACTGTTTCTCTGGAACATCGCTCAGACCCCGGCCTCACTCCAGTACGAGAGGCTCCCACGCATTGCCATGCGACACGTCCGGGATTTGCTGTTTATTAATCTCTTTGGGAACCTCCTAATTAAGTCCCCATTTTAGGTGGAGCCACGGCTTTCTCAGCTAAGGATTAGTCTGTGGAGCCACTGTATACTGAGGGCTCAGATACATCCCAGGTATATTGTAGTGGCCCTGTATACTGAGTTAAGGTACTCTTCACTTTCAGATATTGATTGGCTGGCTTCATTGGTGCACAGGTCCAGAGGGTCTACGGATGTCAGCAGCACATAGGCTGCAGGTGAAAATATCCTTGTGGGGGGTTGTCAGTCCCATTTAAAACAAACTTGGGGCAGCATCAATGATGGCCATCCCTCCCTCCTCCTCACTGCGCTGGCTGCGTGCCAGCTTCAAAGGTCCTTAAAGAGGTGTAGACAGCACCAGCAACAGACTGCAGACTATAGACAGAGAGCGATGCGAGCGAGAGCTGGAGAGAGAGGGGGAGAGGTAGAGTAGTAGGTAATGATTATCTGACGTCCTGCCCACTGGCGAGGTCAGCTACGATGTTGATGACTAGGGCGAGTGGTGGCACACTACACCACGTTCTATAACAACACCAGGCTGGGTGGGGGGGGGTGGGGGGGGAAGAAAGAGCGAGAAGATCTCTCTTATTTTATGGATCCCAACAAGAGTTAGACTGTACATGTGAGTTGGGCCCGTTGAAAACAATGTCAATTTTCAAACATTGGGCAGCCATAAAAGTTCATTAAGCTCATTCCTACCTGAAGAATCTTCTTCACACATTCTTGATGGCTATTCTTTGATGCAAGGTGTAAAACATTAAGACCTGAAATAAAACAAAAACATAAAATATTATCTTACATTAAAATATTACCAGCACTTAATAATAATAATAATCCTTACGTTTTGGCATAGTTAGCAGGACGTTCAAAGTGCTTCACAGATAATACTGTATTTTACAGGCAAATGCAGGAGCCAATTTGCACACACTAATAATGTCCCACAACCAGCCATGAAGTGAACGAAGGCTGTTGATGAGATACTTCCATCTCTTTTTGAGTAATCCATTTGATCTTTATCGTCCACCCAGGCACAGATGGGACTTCATAACATCTTGTTCGAAGAAAGGCACCTCAGTTTTTACAGGAATCTAATTTTAACTAGGAAGTTAAAACATTTTTAACTTTTAACTTTTTTTAAAATAGTTTCAACTAGGAATGCACGTACAGGGCCAAAAAAAAATATTTTGACAAGTCCCAAAATAATAAACATCCAACACTATCTCTCTCATAGATCTCAGTTAATTCCTTTGCCAAGCACCTATCTCATCCCTCTTAAATTTGCTGGCACGATCAGCTTGCACCATCTCCTCTGGTCATCCATTCCATTTAATTCAACCATCTATTCTGAGTGTGAGTGATGATGTACATGCGTTTGAGTTTGTGCCTGTGTATGAATGTGAGTCTGTGTGTGTGAGCCTGTGTGTGTGCATGTGTATGTATGTGTGACTGCGTATCTGTGTGCAAGTACAGTGAGAGCAATAATGTATGTGTATGCGAGGGTACATATTTGAAAGTGTGTGTGTGAGGGAGAGAGAGAAAGAAAGAATGTGTGCAATATATATATATAGTATATACACAAATACAGGGTGAACAAAAAGTTGTGATAACTACCCTATTATTTTTAAAAAATCATAATTGCTTTAAGACTTATTAGACATCGTAATTGTATCATAACTTTTTGGTCACCCTGTGTATATACAAGCGTGCAAGTGTATGCATCTGTATGTGTGTGCATATATATATATATTAAGACTTTTTTTTAATATATGGTTCTTTGCATGGAACATTTCAGCCTCAAACATTTGTAACTAAGAATATATGTGCAGTGGCAGGCGAGGAACATTATTCAGAACATAAAAAACATTACAGGATTTTTGTTTTTGCCTTCAGCACCGTCCAGCTGGAAAGTTAACAGAATGAATGGAATCCCAAAGGCAGTTTCAGGAGAAAGAGCATCTGCTGGAAGTGATTGGACTCACACAGAGGCTGAGTTAATAATAATCCATACATTTAGTACAGTGCCTTTCATGTCGGGAGGACGTACTAAAGTGCTTCATATCATATACTGTAAGTTGCAGTGACTGTGTATTTTTTAGGTGAATGCGGCAGCTAATTTGTCCATAGCAACATCCACAAACAGCCATGAAGAGAGTGCTGGTTTTTATCTGGGGATGGTTATCCAGGACACTGGGAGAAACTCCCTTCTCTTTTTGAATAGTGCCACCGCACAGGCAAATTAGACCCCGGGTTAGAATCTCGTCTGAAGGATGGCACCTCTGACGATTTAGCTCTGACAAACAGTTAGACTGTGAGTTCCAAGTCCCATTGGTGGGAGCTTGAACCCATAACAACAACAACAACAACAACAAACTTACATTTGTAAAGCGCCTTTCACATTGGGAGGATGTCCCAAGGCACTGGACAGACATAGTTACGGACCCGAGCTGGGGGTCGGGATCGGGGAGGGAAGCATGGAGATCGAAAGCATGGTCAAAGAGGAGGCTCTTGAGTTGGGTCTTGAATGAGGCAAGGGGGGGGCGAGGCGGAGGGACTGCGGGATGGAGTTCCAGAGGGTGGGGGCAGAGTGGCGGAAGGCCCGCCCGCCAATAGTGGGGTGAGCGAGACAGGGGACATGAAGCAGGCCGGAGCCCGCTGAGCAGAGGGAGCGAGCAGGATGGTAGGGGTTTAGGAGGTCGCAGAGGTAAGGGGGTGCAAGTCCGTGAAGGGCTTTGAAGGTGAGGACCAGGATCTTGAACTGTATGTGTCCTCTGTGTGATAGGAAGCCAGTGGAGTTGGGCAAGGATGGGAGTAATAGGGTTGGGAGCCTAGTGCGGGAGAGGACACAGGCTGCAAATGATGGAGGAGTTGAGGAGGCCGACGAGCAAGGAGTTTGCATAATAATAATAATCCTTGCATTTGATATAGCGCTTTTCATGTCTTATCGACGTCTCAAAGCGCTTCACAGAATAGACTGTAAAGTGAATTGATTGAATATTTGTGGGCAAATCGCGGCAGCCAATTGCGCACAGCAGTGTCCCACAATCAGTCGTGGATAGAAAATGACCAATTTATTATTGTTTTTCGGAGGGATTATTAGGCGCGTGGTGTCAATCCTCGATGTAATGAAGGCGTGTATGAGGTTTCGGCGGCCTGTGGTGTGAGTCAATGGCGGAGCCGGGCGATGTTGCAGAGGTGGGGGAAGGCAGAGCGGGTCATGGCGCAGATGTGGGGTAGAAAGGAATAGCTGAGGGTCAAACAAGACCCCAAGGTTCCGGACTGGCTTAGCAAGGTGGAGTGTGCAATCATGGATAACCTTCTGACTTGGAGGTGAGAGTGCTACCGAGAACCAGGCCGACACAAGAATTGCACAAGTTACTGCAGCCAATGTCTGTGGAATGTCTTCATGAAGAAATCGGGAATTCTGCAACTGCTGATTGGCAGGAATGATGATTCAGCTGAGCTTGGCTCAGTCAGTAGCAATCACGCCTCTGAGTCAGCGGGTCACTAGCTCAAGCCCCAAATATCAGGCTCATAGTTTTGACTGACACTCCAGTGTAACTGCAGAGGGTGGGGGTAGGTTAGTGGGTGAACACTGCATTGTCAGAGATAAAATGTTTAACTAAGGTCCATGTTTAGTATTGAATGACTGTCCATCCCTCTGGGACGTTTTTCCGACATGAAGGGCACTTTGCAAGCGAAATTTATTGTCTTTGTTCCCGTCTGTGTCCGTTCAGGTCAGATGATGACGATTCCTTGGCGCTATCAAGAGAAGGAGTTTCACCTGGTGCCCGGGCCACAAATCCCCCAGATAAAATTGGTCATTCATTTCATGGCTGTTGGTGAGACATTGCTGTGCACAAACTGGCTGCTGCGTTTCGCCCACAAAATAGCCACTACGCCACAGTAAATCCGGCAAAGTGTTCCAAGTCATCTTTTCCGACGTGAAAGGCAATGCATACAATACAAGCAATATTATCTCCTTCAGTTTTTTTAAAAAAAAACTCCTTCCAGAAATGGTTGTGCCTAATCCTAGTGAGCGACAATAACACAACTGTAACTGTGCTGCTCGTCACCTACCTGAGACATCAGGGACCATCACATCCACACCGTGAGCGAGCATTGCTCCCAGACACTCCAGCTGGCCCTTTGTGGCAGCCAGATGTAGACTGTGAAAACAAAATAAGATTGAAACACATGAATCAATCCCCAAAACGTGTATTGCTCGCTCACTCACTCCCTCACCTCGTTCAAGGTCTGGCTCAAGACCTACCTCTTTGACCATGCTTTCGGTCATCTTTACCTTACCAACTCAGCCTGGGCTGTATCCAGTACTGGAGCTCACAAACTCCTTCAGAATTAGTGCTGTAAACGATCAGCTGTCCAAGTCAAAATGTTACGGAAAAAGAAATAAAAAATAGTCTGTGCGGTTAAGCTATTTTGTTGGGCAGACTGCGTAGTTACTGTTCTGCAGATGGCATCAACTCTGCACCAATTTCTGAAGGTTAAAGATGATGGGCATCATTAAACATCAGCCCTCTACAGCCAACCCTCTCAGACTGGTCGGATCCAAATTATCCACTGTTGTTTTAGTTTCTTCCACCTCCCACCCCTACTTCCCCCTCCGCTCCTTGTATTTTCCAGCAAGATGATAATCCTAACTGGATTTATTCCACATCCCCAAAAGACAATCCAGGTTCTTCTTCCTTGCTGTTACAGGCAAGTTTAAGTCAGGCAACAAAGATTGGGATACAAAAAATTACATTTATATAGTGCCTTTCACGTCGGAAGGACGTCCCAAGGCGCTGGACAGTTAAGGGTTTGGACCTGAGCTGGGGGTTGGAATCAAGAGAGGTGGAGGGTAGGAGGGGTTGGAGTGTGGCCGAAGGTACGGTTAAGAGGATGGTTTTGAGGCAAGCAAGGGAGCGGGCAAGGCAGAGGGATTCCGGGATGGAGTTCCAGAGGGTGGGGCAAAAAAGCTGAAAGCCTCGCCAATGATGGGGCACGTAGGGCGGGGGACATGGGTATATAATGCTAGACGAGTATTCATCATTGTAATGTTTCTGGGTGCTGAGAATTGAATACACATTACGCAGTACACAACCTAACGATGATATCTGCGGATACGAGTTTAGCCAATTACTGAAATCTCAATTCGTAAAGAGGACGCCATGATCTACAGAATTCACATTCATGTTTTTTGGAATAAACCTGTGGGAGATTGATGATAAACCTTTTTACCTTTCCTTCACTCCCTCCCGGCCATCCGTCTCCTCTCTCTCCTTCTTCAATGATTTTATAATAATACTTCCATTTGACATAGTGCCTCATTACTTCATTGAGACATCTCAAAGCGCTTCACAGAATACACATAAAGTGGATTGACTGTGTATTTTGTGGGCGAAAAGCAGCAGCCAATTGCGCACAGCAGTGTCCCACAAACAGATGTGGATTGAGTAAGCACATTTTTTTTTGAGGGATTATTACCTCCAGAAAGCGATCCACCAATAGTCTAACAACCGGGTTCCTATATACTGCTAGGTAAACATAGGTATGTGGAGTAAGGAAAATTGCCTAAGGTTTTGTCCTGCCCGGGAACCGGTAATTGAACCCGGGTCCTCTCGCTTGCGAAGAGGACTAACCACTGTGCTACAGGACTCCACAAAATAACATTGCGAGGAAAACAGCAACTAACCTGTGATAAACTTCAGATTGCAGCTGCATTTTGAAAGGTCCAAATTGCAGAGAAAGCTTGTCCAGAGGAGAAGGGAAGGGGGTCAAAGCCTAGTCACTGCCCAGCTAGTCACGGAGCCTCCAGTCAATCTGCTCAGGGCTTTATTCATTCATCGTCCAGGTCGGCTTTTAGAGTCTGAGCTAATGGGAACGCGATCAATATTTCTGACGACCACTCATAAATAACGCTCAAGACGTTTCACTTCCTAAAGCTACTCACTGCTGCTTCCCACAACCCCCACGTGCAGTGCAAAAGCTACACAGACCACAAGCGAATCTGGCTGGAAAGAACTTGCGGTTAAATACTTTGCAGCTAGTTTATCGCATACCCTGTTAAAGGCAACAGTGTCCGTTTTGTTGGCTCACACGCCCCATTGTGAACCAGGAATGTTTTAGATAAATCTCTTGCACCGACCGGGGTATCGCTCAGGATTCAATGTAACCTTTTTCTTCTGTATTCCAAGTACAACTTTATCCTTCAACGCTTCAAGGCTCTTTAACTTCCAGGCAGGGCGAAACCTTGGGCAAGTTTCCTTACTCCACACGCCTAATAATAATCCCTCCAAAAACCCAAAACAATAATAAATTGGTCATTTTCAATCTACGACTGTTTGTGGGACATTGCTGTGCGCAATTGGCTGCCGCGTTCGCCCACAAATATACAGTCAATTCACTTTACAGTATATTCTGTGAAGCGCTTTGGGACGTCCTCCCGACGTGAAAAGCGCTATATCAAATGCAAGGATTATTATTATTATTATTATTATTAACTCTCTTCTTCTCTCAAACCCCACCCTCTCCACTCCACGGAACTCCGTCCCTGCAGACTCTGCGACTCACCCCCACTCCCTCCTTCACCATTTTCAAAGCCTGGATTAAGATTCATCTCTTTGACGGAGCATTTGTTCATCCTTCTCCTGATGACAACACAGCCAGTCTGGCTCATCGGCTGGACCTGGAAGGGCAGACCAGTCAATGGGGACTGGAAACACTCAGCTCCTGTTAACCCTGCAAGCTAAAGCGCCAATGAGTAGGGTGATCCTAGCTGTAGAAGCAATGGGAAAGCTTGCCAGACAGTGCGATCAATGGCAAGTTATGCAATATTAGCTGATCCTCGTCCTCACCTCACCTTTAAGACCATCCATGCCCTTATCCCCTCCTACCTCTCTGACCTGCTGACTCCCTACCAATCTGCCCGCTCCCTCCGTTCAGCGGACTCCAGCCTGCTCATGTCTCCCGCCCGACCCGCCCTACCATCGGTGGCCGGGCTTTCAGCCTCTCTACCCACACATTTTGGAACTCCACCCCACAGTCCCTTTGCCTCGCTTCCTCCCTTGCTTCCTTCAAGGCCGGTCGCAAGACCCTTCTCTTCGACCGTGCCTTTGTCTCCCTCCCACCTCTCTGCCTTCCCTCACCCCTACACCACCCCTCCCCCATGCTCGGGCCCCAACACCTGACTGTTCAGCGCTTTGGAACGTCCTCTCGACGTGAAAGGCACTCTATAAATGTAATTTTGTTGTTGTTGTGGTTAGACTCCAGCAGTACCTCAACCCACAATCTGGGGCCCCCAAGCCTTGGCTCTTGCCAACTAGCGCCTAATAATTCCCGGAATAAAGGTAAGTAGGATGCACACCAGGGATAGTGTGCGCATTCCATTCCAACAATTTATCTCTGGGATTTCTATGTGTAATGATAACAATAATAATCCTTGCATTTAATATAGTACCTTACCACATCGTTGAGACGTCAAGAACATATTTTAAAGTGAATTGACTATATTTTGTGGGCGAAACATGGCAGACAATTGCGCACAGTCCCACAAACAGTCGAGGATTGAAGTGACCAATTTTTTTTTGAAGGAATTATTACCCCCGGTTGATGACATTGAGCAAAGCCTCATCTTTGGTATGATACATTTAACTGAGGTCTTGTCTGCCTGTTCAGGTGGATAATAAAGATCCCATGACAGTATTCTAAGACAAGGAAGTTTCTTCTGGTGTCCTGGCCAACAATCCCCCAAATAAAATTGGTCTCTCACTTCACAGCTGTTTGTGGGACATTGCTGGGTGCAAATATGGCTACTCGCCTACAAAATACGGTCACTACGCTTGGCAATGATTACTGGGAAGCGACATTCATGTGATAAGGCTTTCTAGCAAATTCAACAACAAAGTGAGTGAGAGAGAAAGTAAGGGTGGGTGTGGGGGGAGGAAAGAAAAGGCACAGAACACGAAAGAAAATGTAATTTTGTTGATGGTGGTGTTGCTATGAGCAGATTGTGACTGGTAGAGCCTAAGTGCAGTTCCTGGCATTTCATTGACAAATCTGTCAGTGAATATGAAGTCCAACTAAGCGGTTTGTCAATAGATTAATTTGCAGGAACTAACAGCACAGCAGTTGGATGACAAACAGGATTTCCTCGTGAGAGAAAGCAAGCGAGAGAAAAAGTAATCATTTATTACTTGCAGAAAATGCGGCACAACACTGCAGAAAAGGTTGATTTCATCACTGAGGGCCATGGTACTACAATTTGCATTTATATGAGGTGTTACAGAGGCGGTGCCCATCACCAAGCCACGGTGGGTGGGGTGTTGGAGGTTATAGGCACGGTCGAAGAGGTCTGTTTTTCAGGAGACTTTTTAGAGATGGACAACAACTTGCATTTATATAGCGCCCTTCACACAGGGTAACGTCCCGGAATGCTTCATAGTGGCAGGGGGAAAGGGAGTGGGGAGGTCACCGTAAGCAGTCAAAAAGGAAGGGATTTGAAAGTGGGGAGGGAGGGGGCAAGGCAAAGGGATTGAGGGAGGGAGTTCCAGAGTTTCGGGGCTTAGTGACTAAAGGCACGGCCAAGATTAGAGGGATCTCGTTGGGGTTCCAGAGAATGGGGGCACAGTGACTGACAGCTCGGCCACCAACAGTGTGGTGGAGGAACGTACAGAGGTCCAAGTCTGGCTAGTGGATGGGCGACGTTGGAGAGATCACAGAGGTAAGTGGGTTAAGGACACCAACTGCTGAGTTTTGGATTCTTTTGCTCTGAAATTTTGCTTTACAATTGCACTATTGCCCTGTTAGATCTAATTGTCTATTGCTGTCTACGTTACTGGTTAACTAACCATTTAACATCTACAGTGACACGCTAAGGCTGAAACACGCCACTCGTTTACAACTTGCATTTATACAGCCTCTTCCCATGGGATAAAATTTGAGTGTTTCAAACTCTGTACCCTTATCACACCAATCCTAGCCAGCCTCCACTGGCTCCCAATCACCAAACGGATTGATTTCAATATCCCTCACTCATTTCCAAATCCCTTCGTGCCCTCGCACCTCCCTACCTATCCGATCTGCTTACTCCCGACTCTACCACCCACTGCCTCTGCTCGGCTGGATCCAGCTTCTTCTTTGTCTCTCATTCCCTCTGTTCCCCGCCACTACACCCTGAAACTCTGGAACTCTCTCCCTCAATCCTTTCTCCTTGCTCCCTCCCTCCCCACCTTCAAATCCTGCCTAAAGACCTTTTTATTTGATCGTGCTTATGGCCACCTACCCCCTCCCTCTCCCGCCTGGCTGGTTGTCAGACTCCGCCAACCTGAAGTGCTCTGGGACGCTACCCCACATGAAGGGTGCTATATAAATGCAAATTATGTTGTGGCTTCATAGCGGTAGGGCTCAGATGCCAAGCAGGAACAGAAAGGGGAGGAGGAATCGACCATAGGCATGGTAAAAGAGGGGTAGGTGGGATTTAAAGATAGAGAGAAGGGGCAAGGTGCAGGGATAGAGGCAGAGGGTTCCTCTCTCTAGCAAAGGGTGGAGATTATGGCCACTTATATTCATTCGACAAATTGCCATTTGGAATGTCAATGCTACAAGTTACATGAAAGCAAGCCTCGCTGTGGGACAGTCATGCTGCAGTATCAATCAGCACCAGAGGCCAATAAGTGGTAGGATTTAAGCATTTGAAGTCCTCACGTTTACTGCCTGCAAGCCTTCAGAGGTGCCGTCCTTCAAATGAGATGTTAAACTGAGATCCTGTCTGCCTGTTCAGGTGGACATTAAAGATCCCATGGGACTGTTCAAAAAGAGAAGGGAGTTTCTCTCATCTGGTGTCCTGGCCAACAATCCTCCCCCCAAAATTGGCCACTCACTCCATGGCTGTTTGTGGGATATTGCTGTGCGCAATCGGCAGCCACGTTTTGCCCACAAAATACACAGTCAATCCACTTTACAGTGTATCCTGTGAAGCGCTTTGAGATTTCTCAATGACATGATAAAGCGCGATATCAAATGCAAGGATTTTTTAAAATTAAATTGGTGATTCACCAAGTGACACTTGATGGGACTTTGCTTCGTGTAAAATCGCTTCCATTGTTTCCTATTTAAAAATAAAGTAAATTAGTGCTTTGAGGAGCTTCGATGTTGATGATGCAAATTGTTATTATGAATGCAAGTATTATTACTTGCATTCATAATAACAATTTGCATTTACACAGCGCATTTCACATCGGGAGGATGTCTCATGTCTCCCGACCCGACCTGCCTGCCCCACCATCGGTGGCTAGGCCTTCAGCCTTTCTGCCCCCACCCTTTAGAACCCCATCCCAGAGACCCTTTGCCTCGCCCCCTCCCTTGCCTCCTTCAAGGTCATCCTCCTCCCAACAATAAATTGGTCATTTTCAATCTACGACTGTTTGTGGGACATTGCTGTGTGCAAATTGGCTGCCGCGTTCGCCCACAAATATACAGTCAATCCACTTTACAGTGTGTTCTGTGAAGCGCTTTGGGACGTCCTCCCGACGTGAAAAGCGCTATATCAAATGCAAGGATTATTATTATTATTATTATTATTAACGTAAAAATGCAAGTTGGTATTATTGGTCGGCCTTTTACGCACTCATCTTCAGCTCGGGTGCCCAGCCAGGGGGATTAAATGTTTTCAGACAGCAACAACAACAAATTACATCCCATTCCCTGGCTGAACACTCAAGGGTTTGCATCCGAGCTGAGCGCTGGGATCAGCAGGTTTGGAGAGCAGGAAGGGTGTGGGAGGAGGATGAGCTTGAAGGAGGCAAGGGAGGAGGCGAGGCAAAGGGTCTCTGGGATGGGGTTCTAAAGGGTGGGGGCAGAAAGGCTGAAGGCCCAGCCACTGATGATGGGGCAGGCAGGTCGGGTCGGGGGACATGAGACATCCTCCTGATGTGAAAGGCGCTGTGTAAATGTAAATTGTATTGAAATTGTACTGCATTCAGACTTTTGAGAATCTGAACGATGTGTGAGTATCAGCCTCTCATAAAATGCAATCACCTACCTAGATGTTTGCTCGTACCACAGAAAATTTACCATATATTAAAAAAAGGCATTTCCGCTGCATTGTGATAAAAAGGTAAGGCGGTTAAGGAGACCAGTAGAAGTCCCAAAGGATTTGACATAGTCCCAGGTGGTGTCTTATGCAGCACTGGTCACAAGGACACAACACAGGATTCTTCAACGTAAGTAATATCCAACTGCTCCATTAACAGTGTTGGCTCACGAGTTCAACAAATTGCCCACTAACCATGCTAAACAGATTAAAAATGTTCCTGTTCCCAGCGGAAATGATCAGCGGTAATTAATTGCACAGATTAACATTGGCCGTGCTCCTTGTTAAATTAATGCACCCGCTGCTCTACAAAAGGCCATCCGCCACCCTTGTGTCAATGAAAATGTAACACGACTCTTTAATGCATCAGAGTTGGATTCCAACTTTCATCCCTAAACATTCAATGACGATTTCTAGTAACTCAATCATCTGAAACACAACTGTCGCATTTCTCCTTTTTGAAGAGCAGAGGGTACAGAGCATTAGTTGTATGAATGCTTTGCTTCCCCCCACCCCAACCCTTTTAAAAGCAGCATCCCACACCATTTATCAGAGTGCGACGGGACGAGATGGGACATGTACTGCACTGAGCTAGAGTATAGTTTCTCTGTGAAGAAAAATCAATTAATTCCTTTGCATCATTTCCACACGATACATTAGCAATGTAGTGTCTTGGGATATCATTGGCTGCCCTTCGGGGTTCCTCCCGATCAGCACAGATCAAAGCCTTAACTAAGCAATGAATAATAAAACCCAGGGATGCGGTAATGTTATTACGGTATAGAAGGCTGCATTTAAAACGGGAACTTGTCCTTAAATTGCAAACCAGCGTGAGTGAAAAGCGGGGCAGTCTTGTATCAAGATAACATGGGAATCTGATGCACCAAATTCAAGCAGGTTACCGCAATGAACATCTAACAAGCAGGGATATCAATGCACTTGAATTGGAATCCCCGTTGAATACAGCCAGCTCAGGCAAAACAGCAAAGCAATTTCACATTGGAGAATACAGTCTTATCCACCAAATGTAAGACTGCGATGCGAGGGAGGGGAGAGAGAAAAGGAGGGGAGAGGTTTCTGGCAGACACAGCAACACCACATCTATGATTCCAGCAATTCAGAAGGCCTCGAATGCTGCATATTAAACTGGTTAACATCAGAGCTGCTTGTTTCACTGCCATTAGTCGGCTTTCTAAAAATACTGGGTTCCCCCCGATCAGCGCTGATCAAAACAATGAATAATAAAACCTAGTGATATGGTAATGTGAATACGATACATTAGCAATATAGTATCTTGGGATATCATTATTCGCATCGTCTGGAAGCACTTAAAAATTCGGGTCAAAGATTAGAAACCCGTCACCATAAAATTTAGATGTGCATTTCGCATTTCCAAGACCCCATTCTTTGCGGTTGCAATGTTTCTCTTGTCAGGCAGTTACTTACGCAGATTTGCCCTCGTTGTCCAGCTTGGTGGGGCTGATCCCCTTCTTGCCCAGGAGGGAGGACACTTTATCCGTGTCGCCATGCTCCACGGCTTGCAGTAACCGGTCATCGTTCTTGCTCCACTCGTGAGTCTGCAGATGCACAAAGGAGAACAGGGTGAGTTCGGAAAGGAGAAGGGAGGGATCGGGAAATTAAGACGGTTTGTGGGTTGACACGACCATCGAACGGCAGCAGAAACTCAAGAAATTAAAAGCACGACTGCTGAGGTTATCAGATTACATCTCCCGCTCGCTCGCTCTCTCTCTCCCATCCCCAAAAATCTGAAAGGGAAGTTGAATGAAAAGACCTTACAGTTGACACACATATCTAGACAAAAGAGGAATTTCAGATCTTGCAAGGCATACTCCATAGTAACGTTTTAACTGCAGCAGCCACAGACCCATCGGTTTATGCGTGTGCTGTCAGTGCTGCCGAAGAAGCCACTGGAAACTGCTGAAAAGCAGCCTCTTAAAGATATCGACTGGCTCCCTGCCCAAACACATCCTGCGGGAATAGCATTATGCATCATTGTCCTAGCCCGACTCCTGAAACACCTGATGTAAATAAAACCTATCACCGCACTCGCCCCAGCATCTCCGGCGCTGGTCTATTTTTTATTTTTTATCGTCGACGCTTGCATTTTTCAGCATATTAAATTTGCTCGGCTCAGCGTCTGCCACGCTCGGGAAAATTTCCGATTGATGTGGAACCCGTATTCTAATCGAACGCGGGTTGCGAGGGTTTGGCATCGCAATCACAGTCGAACCTCACTGAGCTGGGATCCAGAACAAGGTGGGGGGGTGGGGGGGTTGGGCATAATCTTAAAATTAGAACTGGGCCATTTAGGAATGAAATCGGGAAGCACTATTTCCACACAAAGGATGGTGGAAATCTGGATCTCTCTCCCCCAAAAGGCTGTGACTGCTGAGATGCATTCATATTTTCAAGACTGAGGTGGATAGATTCTTGTTAGGTCAGGGTGTCAAGGGATATGGAGCAAGGGCAGGTAAATGAAGCTGAGCTACAGATCCGCCATGATCTAATAGAATGGCGGAACAGGCCGAGGAACTAAACAACCTACTCGACCTGTTCCTATTCTTATGCCCCAGTGAATTTTCTGCACACGGATACTCCGTGCAGTTACACCAGAAGCGCTGGGCTTCCGGTTCTGAATAACCTTCTTACCTGACCAGAGGTGTCACCCTGGTTCAATTGATAGCACTCTCTCGCCTCGGACACAAAAAGTTGTGGGTTCAAGCCCCTCGTCGAGGCTTTGAGCTGACAGTCCAGGGAGACATACCAATGCAGAGCTTGGGGAGATGGGATGGGGAGGAAAAGAGTACCGCATTGTTACAGGTGCCATCCTTTGGGTCAGATGTTAAACCAAGGTTCGGGCTGGCTGTTCAGGTAAATGTTAAAGATTCTAAAGATAAAAAGATAATAGTGGCACTATTTGAAAAGAGAAGGGAGTTTCTTGGCCAACACTCCCCAAGATAAAATTGTCAGTCACTCGAGACATTGCTGTGGCTGCCACATTTGCCTACAAAATACTCAGTCAATACACGATACGATAAATCATGTGAAACACTTTGAGATGTCCCAAAGATGTTAAAGGTGCTCTATCAAATGCCCAAGGATTATTATATGTGTTGGTACAGAAGTCCTCCTGGATTCGCGGTTTACTTGCAACCGAGCCGGCTAGCCTCCTGAACACACACGCACACATGTCAAGTTTCTAAAAAGTGCTTCACAGACTTATTGTGAAGTGTGATGACTGTGTATTTGTAGGCAAACGCAGCAGCCAATTTGCAAACAGCCATGAAGCAAACAAATATTTTTGGATCCGGGACATTGTTAGACAAGACGTCAGGAAAAACTCCTCTCCTTTCAAGCAAGAATCTGTGACAAACAGATGGGACCTCTCTGGACTTAACGTCTCATCTGAAGGACTTTATTCTTCATCATCATATTCTGTATCTCATTATCTTCTTGTGCTCTGCTAGATTAACAGAATGAAGGGTTGATTTTTACCAGTTGCTATAAGCAGTGAAATTCACTACATCTTTCAGAAGACGTCACTTCAAAACCTGCCTCATGTACTCTACATATAGACAATTCCGCACAGAAAGATCATTAAGGAAGCCTCCCCTCAATTCCCATGCTCCAGAGACTACACTATGGTGCAATTGGGATGCTATAGGCTGGATTCCCACGCTCCAGGGTTGCCCTGAAACAGAAAGTGTCAAACTCAACAGCGGGGCCCATTGGGTTTGACACTGACCACTCCCCAATTAGGGAAACTGGGTCAGCAAAGTTGTTGGGGGTGGCCGCGGGGAGGAGGGAGTGCACCCTTTCAAAATCATTAAGCAACACAGTCTTGCCCCATGCCCTGAGGCCTTCAATCCAATGAGTTGAACAGAAATCTGTGTGTCAATCTGGCTCAGTTGGTAGTACTCTCGCCTCCGAGTCAGAGATTGTGGTCAGAGATTGTGGGTTCAAGCGCTACGTCGGGTCTTTGAACCCATCAGGGGGAGATATAGGGTCAAAGGACTGGGCTAACTTGGCTCCACCCCTCTGCCACCTCCCAATCCCAACATAGCACTGATTGGCAGACTGCAGACTGCCAGTCAGTCAGCGAGTGTAATGTGGGCAATACCTGACCTTGATTGTTGTCAGTCAGGGTCAGCGGATGGGGTGAGGGGCTGTGGTTGGCAGACTGGGCTGCTAGTCGGTCAGTGGGCAGGCTGTGGGCAGTTGCAAACAGCAACCCAATCATGGAAAAATATAGGTAAGTGAGTTAGTTTTGGCTGACCTCAAAGTGAATGGGGCAAGGGGAGTGGGTTCATGAGACCCCCTGACACCATTAGCTCCGCCACTTGAACCCATTTAGCTTATGCTGACACTCCAGTGCAGTGCTGGGGGTGTACTGCATTGTCGAAGGGGGTTCCCTTTGGATGAGATGTTACATGGAGTCCTATAGTTTAGTGGTTAGAGACTCGCCTGGGTTTGATTCCCAGGCAGTGCGAAACATTGGACAAGTTTCCTTACTCCACACGTCTCTGTTTACCTAGCAATAAGTAGATTGTTAGTGCTGGATGAGAGCTAACTTTCTTCAGTTGAACGTCAACAAGCTCAAGGCTCTCCTGATTGGCTCCCGTCAGTGCCTCCACACCTCAGGCGCTGACAGTATCACCATCCATGGTTGCACATTTCACCTTACTAAGCCAGTCCGGAACCCTGGGGTCTTGTTTAACCCTCAACTATCCTTTCTAACCCACATTCATGCCATGCCCTGCTCTGCCTTCCCCCACCTCAGCAACATCGCCCGGCTCCGCCACTGTCTCACACTGCAGGCCGCCAAAACCCTCATACATTCTTTCATTGGACTGAGGCTTGATTATGCAAACCCCTTGCTTGTCAGCCTCCAACTCCTCCCTCCACAGGCTGTAGATCATCCATAACTCTGCCGCCCTTGTCCTCCTCCGCACCAGGCTCCGTGACCCTATCACCCCCATCCTTGCCTGACACCACTGGCTTCCCATCACACAGAGGATACAGTTCAAGATTCTGGCCATGCTCCGCCCTACCTCTGCAACCTTCTAACCCCTACCAACCTGCTCGCTCCCTCCGCTCAGCGGACTCCAGCCTGCTTCACGTCCCCCACCTCACCTGCCCCACTGTTGGCGGGCGGGCCTTAGGCCACTCTGCCCCTATCCTCTGGAACTCCAACCCGCAGTTCCTCTGCCTCGTCCCCTCGCCTTCTTCAAGACCCACATCAAGAACCTTCCCTTCGACTGTGCTTTCGATCTCCCTGCTTCCCCCCCTGCCCTCCAAAATCCCGACCTCCAGCTCCGGTCTAAAACACTGGCTGTCCAGCACCTAAGGACATCCTCCTGACGTGAAAGGCGCTTTACAAATTGTTGTCAGTCGACTGGTGGATCACGTTTCCAAGGGTAATAATTCCTTCAAGATAAATAAAAGAATAATTTGGTCACTCAATCCACGACTGTTCGTGGGACACTGCTGCGCACAGTTGGCTGCCGCGTTTCTCTCACAAAATATACAGTCGATTCACTTTCTAGTAAATTCTGAGAATCGCTTTGAGACGTCAAAGATGTAATAAAGCGCCACATCAAATGCAAGGATTATTATTAATATTAAACCAAGGTCCCTTCTGCCTGTTCAGGTGGACATTGAATATACCACGGCACTATTCGAAAAGAGAAAGGAGTTTACCCTAGTTTCCTGGCCAACAATCCCTCAAAATAAAACTCACTCCACATCTGCTTGTGGAACGTTGCTGTGCGCAATTTGGCTGCTGAGTTTCCTCACAAAATATACACAGTCACAGCACAGTATATCTATGAAGTACTTTAAGATGTCTCGGTGATGTGAGAGGCGCTATGTCAAATGTCAGAATTATTATAATATCTTATATATTATTTGAGATACAAAAGTATAACAATCGTATTTGCATCTGATTATAGCGTCTCTCACTTTGGGAGGACGTCTTAAAGTGCTTCACAAGATTTTACTGTGAAGGGCAGTGACTGTATATTCTGCAGGCAAACACGGCAGCTAATCTTTGCACAGCAAAGTATAACGATTTTTGGGGGGAAAACAGCAACAAAACAAACACACATGTTGCACACACTACACACGCACACAGTTACCCCTCCCGCACATACAAACAACTTGTACTTTTATATTGCCTTTTATGTGGCGAAGCGTCCGTTTCAAAACTGTATTAAATTGTAAAACAACTAACTATATTCCACAAAACTGCATCAAGCAACTCTCTCTTCATCGTACAAAAAAAAAGTTAAGAAAACTATGCAGGAATGCAGACCACATAAAGTGCTGTGACCACAACAAGGATGCAACTCTCAGACACAAGAGCAGAGCTAATCAATACAAACAAAATAACATGCACCCTGAAGTAAGAAAGAAAAACACAACAACACAGCAATACAGCGCCGAAAACGTCAACTTCCAGAGTAAGTTGACGGGAGAACTTACAGCCAGAAAACAAAACATTCGTTTCATCTCTCGAACGGTTTCTCTTCCCCTCTCTGACGACTTGCGTCTAGAA